GACAATTGTAAAGGCTGAGAGTTATACGGAGTCTGGCCAGCTAGCCTTAAATTTGCCCACCTGTAACAGGGGGCACCGAGGCTCAAGCCTGTAATCCCAACTACTCAGGAGGCTGAGATCTGAGGATCCAGGTTCAAATGCAGCCCAGAGAAGAAAGTTTATGAGACTCTTCCACCTACCCCCCAAAAGCAAGACATGGAGTGGTGGCTCAGATTGGTAGTGTGTCATCCTTGAGCTGGGGGGGAAAAAAGCCAAGCAAGAGCTCGAAGCCCTGAGTTCAAGTCCCAGTACTGCAGAGAGAGAGAGAGAGAATTCAGCAGCTGTCTGTGACAAGAAGGCTTTTTACTTTCTCACTGGCTGAGGAGACTCTTCATTCTTGCTAGTGCTGAGACAAGACACCAAAATCCAGAGAAAGGGGGCAGGAGAAAGAGGGGGAGACATATAATAAGGCACCTTGTGTACTTATCCGTTTGAGCTCAGAGCAATGCTTGTTAGCACATGGTAGGTGGGCACATCCATTCTCTCCCTAACTCAATGAATGAGCGGAAGGTGGGGATGGAGAGCCTGAGAGACAGGGACAAACAAGTTGAATGATCCTGGTGTCTGGCTGCAACTCCTCACCCAGACTCCCTGCTCCGGGCTGCCACTCACTTTAGTTGCCCGGGCAACCTGGTCTCCTGGTAACTTCAAAGTGGTGCTGTTGCCTGGCAACCCAGGGGGCAGGGCAGAACTGTGATTTCCTGGGCTTTTTCTCTCCCTCTGGGGCCAGAAAACAGCTCCCAACATCCCCCAGTACACCCACTCACACAGCTGGGCACCCCTACACCCTTCTGTACACACACACACACACACACACACACACACACACACACACGGCATCGCTGTATGGATTCCATTTCCACACTCCCCATCACCCATGTGCTCACAGCTGGCGTTCCCCTACCTGACACACAAAGCAGCTCACACTCACTCTGCTTGTCCTACATTCCCACCCTACATGCTTCCTTGTACAAACCCACATTGCCGAGTCCTCCCTCCCATCCTCCCTGTGTCTCTCCCTCCCTCCTCCCTCCCTTCCTTCCTTTTCTTTCTTCTTTCTTTCTTTCTTTCTTTTTCTCTTTCTTCATTCTTTTTCCCTCTCTTTCTTTCTTTCTTCTTTCCCTCCCTCCCTCCCTTCCTTCCTTCCTTCTTTTTTTGGGGTACTAGGAGTTGAATATGGGGCCTCCTCATGCTAGGCCACACTACATCACTTGAGCTAAACCCTCAGCCCTAAATTATTTCTATTTTGGCATTCTTTTGTTTATTTGCAGTATTTGGCATTTGAATTCAGGACCTCATACTTGTTAAGCAGTCATTCTACTACTGTGATCCATGTTCCCAGTCCTTCTTTCCTTCCTCCTTCCCTCCCTTTCTTTCTTCCTTCCTTTTTTTTTTTTTTTTTTTTTTTTTTGGTTGGTCATGGGGCTTGAGCTCAAGGCCCTAGTGCTATCCTTGAGCTTTTTTTGCTCAAGGCTAACACTCTACCACTTGAACCACAGCGCCACTTCTGGCTTTTTCTGTGTATGTGGTCCTGAGGAATCAAACCCAAGGCTTCAAGAATGCTAAGCAAGCACTCTACCACGAAGCCACATTTCCAGCCCTCTTTCCCTTCCTTCCTTCCTTCCTTCCATCCTTCCTTCCATCCTTCCTTCCCTTTTCTCTTTCTTTCTATCTTTTTCCTTTTTTCCTTTCGTTCCTTTTTTTTTTTTTTTTGTCAGTCATGGGGCTTGAACGCTGGGCTTGGGCTCTATCCCTCAGATCTTCAGCTCAAGGCGAGCACTCTGCCACTTGAGCCACAGCACCATTTCCAGTTTTCTAGTGGTTTATTGGAGATAAGAGTCTCAAGGACTTTCCTGCCCAGGCTGGCTTAGAACCATGGATCCTCAGATCTCAGCCTCCTGAGTAGCTAGGATGACAGGCATGAGCCACCAGCACCCAGTCTTTCTTTCCTTTTTGTACGGGGGCTTGAACTCAGAACCTGAACACTATTAATTTTTTTGAGGGGAGGCCATGGGGTTTGAACTCTGAACCTGGGCTCTGTCCCTCAGCTCTTCAGCTCAAGGCAAGCACTCTACCACTTGAGCCATAGTACCACTTCCGGTTTTCTGGTGGTTCATTGGAGATAAGAGTCTTACAGACTTTCCAGGCGGGCTGGCTTTGAACCATGATCTTCAGATCTCAGCCTCCTGAGTAGCTAGGATGACAGGCGTGAGCCACAGGCACCAGGCTATCCCTTAGGTTTCCCCCCTTCAAATCTAGTGCTCCAATACTTGGCCCACACCTCCACTTCAGGATGTTTTTTTTCTTTTTTCTGGTTCATTGAAGTATTTCAGATTATCTTGCCCTGGCTTTGAATCTTGATCCTCACATCTCAGCCTCCTGAGTAGCTAGGATGTCAGGCGTGAGCCACCCGCACCCGGCCTAGGTTGTGTTCCCTACCTAGGATTATTCATCTCATACTGAGAATGGCGGGGTTTTCGCAGGCCCCGCCCCAGTGGGGCCAGCCCTCGGTTCCCCTTCCTCTCCTTGTCAGCCGGTCAGTACTTCGGACAGCGCCAGCCACGGTGTGCGCAGGCGCTGTCCTCAGTGCTGAGGCTGTGTCTTCCTGGGCCCGCGGAAGGAAGAGACAAGTTTAGGATGCACCATGAATCTCAAGTATGTGAGTTCTGGAAACGGCGTTGGCCAACTAATCAAAAACTCCATGAGCTGTTGGTCCTCGTGGTGTGTGTGTGTGTGTGTGTGTGTGTGTTTGCCAGTATTGGGTCTTAACTTTTCTACTCAACGCTGGTGCTCTACCACTTGATCCACAGCTCCACTTCCAACTTCATTGTTGGTTAATTGGCGATGAGTAACAGGGACTTTCCTGTGTGAGCTGGCTTTGAACTATGATCCTCAGATCTCAGCCTTCTGAGTAGCTAGGATTACAGGCGTGAGCCACCATTAGTGGGCTCTGTCTGTCATTTTTTCTTGAGCCAATAGGCAGTCCCTTCATCCCTCCCTCATTTTCTTTTTTTTTCTTTTTTTCTTTTTTTGTCGGTCGTGGGGCTTGAACTCTGGGCCTGGGCGCTGTCCCTCAGCTCTTCAGCTCAAGGCGAGCGCTCTACCACTTGAGCACAGCGCCACTTCCGGTTTTCTGGTGGTTTATTGGAGATAGGAGTCTCACGGTCTCTCCTGCCCGGGCTGGCTTTGAACCGCGATCCTCAGATCTCAGCCTCCTGAGTAGCTAGGATTACACCTCCCTCATTTTCTGTATCTCCCCCATTCACTTCAGCCACACAGACCTCCTTCCCAGAGCCGTGTTCCTACCACAGGACCTTTCCATGTGCTGTTCCCTTTGCCTGGAATAAATGGCTTTCTTTTCTACTCCTCCAAGGTGTCCATTCCTGTTGTCATTTCCTCAAGTGACACTTCTACAATCTTCCTGTCTAAACTGTAAATCCTGTCTGTCTCTCAGTTCTCAAGCTTGAATTTTCTCCCAATCACATTTCAATGCGAAGCACACACACAGATCCAAACCCTACCAAGGAACATAGCATGCTCCCAGCATTTGGGAGCCTCCCAGAGTGACCCAAGTTATTCTTTCTGCTCTCAGCCAGCTTGGAGGCTCCATCTTTGCTCTCCAGACTCCTAGAGAGGCTCATGTCTGTAATCCTAACTCCTCAGGATGCTAAGCTCTGAGGATCCTGGTTTGAAGCCAGCCTGAGCAGGAAGGTCTATAAAACTCTTATCCCTAATTATCCACCAAAAAAGCTGGAAGTGGAGCTGTGGCTGAAGTGGTAGGGCTCCAGCCTTGAGTGGTAAAGCTCCAGTTCAGACCGCAGTACCAGCATGAAAGAAAAGAAAGGCTGGGAATGTGGCTTAGTGGTAGAGTGTTTGCCTAGCATGCATGAAGCCGCAGGTTGGATTCCTCAGTTCTACATAAATAGAAAAAGCCAGACGTGGTGCTGTGGCTAAAGTGGTAGAGTGCCAGCCTTAAGCAAAAGAAGCTCAGAGACAGTGCTCAGGCCCTGAGTTCAGCCCTGGGACTGGAAAAAGAGAAAAAAAAAAGAGAAAGAAAGGAAAGCAAGCAAGCAAGTGCAGAGAGATTAACTTTCTAGAGGCCACACAATCAAAAAATTGTCAGGATTTTTTTGTCAGCTGTGGGGCTTGAACTCTGGGCCTGGGCGCTGTCCCTCAGCTCTTCAGCTCAAGGCGAGGGCTCTACCACTTGAACCACAGCACCACTTCCGGATTTTTATGTGGTGCTGATGAATCGAACTCAGGGCCTCATGCATGCCAGGCAAGCGCTCTACCACTGAGCCACCTTCCCAGCCCAGGATTTTTTTTTTTCTTGAGAGGGAAAGTGAGTGCCAGGGTAGGGCTGTAGCCAACACTCAGTCCTCTGGTTTTGTTTTATTTTTCAGATAAGGTCTTTTATTTTTTCCCAAGCCAGCCTTGCATCTCTATTCTCCTACCTCCACCTTCTGAGTAGCTGGGACTATAAGCCTGCGCAATCATGCCTGGCTCTGAGTTAGGTGTGTTTTCTTGAGTGCTGATTCCTGGGGCTTGAACTCTGGACCTGGGTGCTATTCCTGAGCTTCTGTGCTTGAGGCTGGCGCTCTATCACTTGAGCCACAGCTCCACTTCTGGCTTTTTTAGGAGTTAGCTGGAGATAAGAGTCTCACTGGCTTTATTATCCAGGCTGGCTTTGAACCATGATAGTCATATTTCAGCCTCCCAAGGAGCTAGGATGATAAGTGTGAGCCCAGCTAGACCAGCCTTTGGCCCTGTGTGACTGGCCCCATGGTCCCACAATGCGTCTCCATGTCTGTCGTCAGATCCACTGTGGCAGTACGCCCACCCAGCTTCACACCCGTCTACACCCAGAATTTCAGTCCTCTTCAGCCCACCACCCGGGGGAGGCAGGCAAGTGGCCAAACTTCTGTTACAAACAGATTTTTATTAAATACGAGGAGCCGGGTCTTTATTAAAGATGAGGAGGAGGCAGGAAAAGAGGGCCGGTGTCTCCTCTGCCCACTGCCTTGGGGTGCTCAGGGTAAGGGAGCCCTTCTGTTCTACCCATGACCCACCCCACCCCCAGATGGCATTTCTTCATGAGGCTGGGGCTGGGGTGAGCACAGTGTGAACACAGAGGCAGGCTCCAAGAAAAAAAAAAAAGTCATTTCCCACAGCCCTAATAAATAACAGAAGGATTTCAGGGTGCCCTGGGTACAGGCCAAGGGAGACAAGATCTCAGCTCCCCAAAGCCTCTGAACTGGGGCAAGCTCTGCTTTTAGGGAGGGGGTGGTGAGATGGGGTACAATGCGGGAGGGGCTGAGAAGGGAAAGGGGTACCCTAAGGCCCTGCCATGGGGGAGCCTGCCCCCAGCCCTCCACTGGACTCGGTGAATGTGAGGAGAGGGGACCTGGTGACAGAGTGGACCCCACTCCCCCAATCTCCCTCCTCTCCTTTGCACGTGCTTAGACAAGGGCGGTCCCCCATTGACTGGCATCATACCCACCCACTCCGGAAATTCTGAAAGCCAACGGCTCCTATTGGCTCATTCGTTGGCTGGGCTTGGCCTCTTGCCTGGGAGCACGCTCCCATTGGCTGGAGTGAGCTCAACTGGCTTAGAATTCTGAGACCCAGAGCTCTCATTGGCTGAGCCGTGGGCCAATGGGGAAATCAAGCTTTCAGCCTTTCGAAGGCCAATACTTGGGGCAAGGGTCTGTCCTGGAGCTCTGGCTTCCTGGGATGTCCCAAGGGGTAAGAGAGACAGGCAGTCTCCCCCAAATGTCCTTCCAGCCATCCTCTGGATGCCTGAACCAGGCTGGGGCTTTTCTTTTTTTGGGGGAAAGGAGGAGGTGGAGGGGCCTTTGGCACTCACATGGCACACGCACACACACGCGTGACAGGGGAGGAAAATGGGGACACCGGGTAGATGTGGGTGGGTGGGTGTAGGTCTCACAGCAGGTGGTCGCGGCTGGCGAAAAGGTAAGGGCTGAAGTTGTCCCGGTGGAAGGGGGAGGGATAGAGTCCGCTGAGGGTGTACAGGTCCCGCAACAGGGGCGTAGGCAGCAGCAGCTTCCGGCCACGCCCGCCACCCCCACCTGGTCCTCCAGGCCCGGGGGAGGAGGGTGAGGGGCCTTGGCTGGGAGTCGGTGCTGGCAGGGGTAAGGGCAGTGGCAGGGGCGTTGGCTCAGACCTCAATCGAGGGCGGGGCACCCGGGGCGAAGAACACATGGCCGGGGCCCTGGAGGACACGCAGCTGGGGATCAGGTGGCCACGGAGGGCACAGTTCTGCGACTCTGAAGTTGAGAGTCAGAGAGCAAAGGATTAGAAATCTGGGGTGGGGGGAAGAGTTAAGGGAGGCTGCAAATTCCCCCCATGTTTAGCCTCCCACTTGCCCGACACTCACTGGATGGGGTGAGCCGTGCCGGTGTCGAATGCGGCCTGCAGGCCTCGGGTTCCTAAGATAAAGCAGCAGAGGGAAGAGGCTAGAGGACCCCTCGACCTCACCACCCCGAGACAGGAGGGGGGGCTCATCACACAGAGAGCAAGACAACCAGCAATGGCCTTTCAGTCTGCTTTCATTTCCTGCCTCCACCCCCCCACCCTCTCCAGCCGGGAGCAGCCCCCAGCCCCCCTTACCTGAGCCACACTTAACTTTTCGAGGGGGCTGTCCGTGGTAGGGGCCTGGCTCAGGTCTTCCCAGGTGGAGAGCCTTCGGCCAGAGGGTGGCCGACTCTGGAAATTGTGCACGACACAGATGACCTGGAATAGAGAGAAAATACGTAAAGGCGGGATTCCACCTGTTTTCATTAACTCTGTGTGTGTGTGTGTGTGTGTGTGTGTGTGTGTGTGTGTGTGTGTGTGTGTGTGTGTGTGTGTGTGTGTGTTGTTGGAACTGAGGTTCCAACTCAGGACCTGGGTGCTGTCCCCCTCAGCTTTTTTTCAGTTCAAGGTTGTGGCACTCTACCACTTGAGCCACAGCTCCACTTCTGGTGAGTTGGAGGGAAGACTCTCATGGACTTGTCTGCCTGGGCTGGCTTCCAACTGGTGATCCTCAGATCTCTGCTTCCTGAGTAACTGGGATGACAAGCATGAGCCACAGATGCTCAGCTTGTTTTTTGTTTTTTGGGTTTTTTGTTGTTGTTGTTTTTGTTTTGTCAGTTATGGGGCTTGAACCCTGGGCCTGAGCGCTGTCCCTGAGCTCTTCAGCTCAAGGCGAGCGCTCTACCACTTGAGCCACAGCACCACTTCCGGTTTTCTGGTGGTTTATTGGAAATAAGTTTTACAGACTTTCCTGCCTGGGCTGGTTTTGAACCGCAATCCTCAGATCTCAGCTTCCTGAGTAGCCAGGATGACAGGCGTGAGCCACGGTGCCCAATCTCAGCTAGTTTTTGATATCATACTATTTAGTACATTGATCATTCCGCATGCATGTATATGTTAAGTGCTGTGGCATCCTCTTCAATTTTGCACTCAGGGAGTGTCTTACTTATGATCCTGTCCCAGAAGTCTTGTCTTTGGCTTTGGGGGCTACCGAGGGGGGGAGAGGGAAAGGGTCTTCCTTGCAGAGATGGGGAGAAGGCTGGGAGTCTCACCAGAAAGGTAGCGATAGATGCTCCAGTCAGGAAACCAGCCAGCACGTCTGACCAGTGGTTGCGGTACTCGGCCACACGGACCACGCCCACCAGGAAGGCTGGACACAGCAGGGCCAGGCAGAGGGAGGGCTTCACCAGGCGAGAGCCCTTCACTCGGAACACTCGGGTCACGTACATCTGTGGGAGCCACATCGATCAGGGGACACGCGGGAAATGAAGTCGCCAAACTCAAGGAAGACGTTGCCTTCTGGCTTAAGGAGCCTGGTCAGGGCACCAGGACAGGAGCGCGTGGCCCTGGGGGTCTTACAGAGATGGGAGTGTGCAAAGGGAGGGCTGCAAGCTAAGGCGGCAGCGAGGGCCTCGAGGGTCCCCAACTACCTACAGGCTTCGGGCCTGAGCTCCAAAGAGTAGAGGTCAGAATCTCAGGTTCCTGCATTCGTTAGTTTCCCAGGAAGGAAACCCAGACTAGAGTCTAGGGAATGGAGGTGCCAGAGTCAAAGCGCCAGATCCAGGGACTCTTAAGAGGTGGCATCTTGAACTCCAGGAGATCCCAGACAGGCTTAGGCGCTTCATCACCCCTAGAGACCAGAAAAAGGAACCAAAGCAACCCAGGGAGGGACTAGGACTAAGAGCGGGATAGAGAGTTAGAAATCAGCAAACGAGTCAGGAGCCCTAACCAGGACCACAGAGGATGGAGACCAAGCTTTCGAGGGGGGTGGGAGAGGCGTGGGGAGGGCTGGGGAAGGGGGTGGGGGTGGAAGCCCACCCAGCAGGGTCTGGGAACTTCCTGGGAACTCCAAGGGGCAGAGCCCCATCTCCAAAGACAGCCATCCCCAACCCAAAGGGCGTAAACAACAGCCTCCCCGGGGCGGGGCGTTCCCAGGACCGGAGGTGTGGCCTGAGATGGGAGGAACCAATAGATTCCACCTGGGGGCGTGGCCTCACGGACTCGTGATAGGAGGCGTGGCCTGGGGCGGGAGGAACCAATAGACCCCGCTTGGAGGCGTGGCCACAACACGGGGGCGTGGCCTCATGGACACAGGGAGGGAGCTAAGGCTCCAGGATGGTTGACCTCCAGCCGCAGGGCCCCACAGCTTGCTCCCCGGAGGGCTCACCGCCGTGTAGGTGACGGCGTAGGCGCAGAGGGCCGCATCCTTGCAGGGAAAGGCGCGGCGGGCGGCGGCCACCAGGCTGGGGCTGCCCGCGCAGGCTCCCTGGTCTGTGACGAAGCGGTCAGGCCCTGGCCGGTCAGGAGAGGGTGGTAGGCAGCCCAAGGCCGTGTAGTTGGGGCGACACACGGACAGGAAGTGCGGTGTGGGGTTCCCGGTCACCACTTGCCCCGCGTTGGCGAAGATGGTGGTGGTGAAGAGGCCGAAAGAGTAGACCCCTGATTGTGCGGGAGGAAAAAGAAGGGGGTTCTGGTCTGGCTTTCCTGCCTGGTCTGGCTTGGAAAGGTGATCCTCAGAGCTCAGCCTCCTGAGGTAGGATGACCGGGGAGCCACCGGCCCCTGGCTCCCTTTTTTTTTTTTTTTTTTTCCTTGACAGTCCTGGATCTTGAACTCAGGGCCTGGGCGCTGTCCCTGGGCTTCTTTTGCTCAAAGTTAACACTGTACCACTTGAGCCACAAGGCCACTTCTGGTTCTGGTTTTTTCTGTGTATGTGGTGCTGAGGAGTCGAACCCAGGGCTTCATGCATGCTACGCAAGCACTCTACCACTGAGCCACATTCCCAACCCTCCCTGCTTGGCATTCTCATACCTCTTTTTAGGCCACTCCGTCCCCAGGGACCCAGGGACCACTAATTATGATTGAGACCCCATTCATGCTGCCAGAAAAATCTCAATATTCTCCCCTGAACTTAGGTCCTGGGTGTTGTCCTTGAGCCACTGGTGCTCAAAGTTAGCACTCTACCACTTGAACCACAGCATCACTTCCTACCAATGTCTAGATACTTCATCCACAGCCATCACTGTTGGCTTAAGCCTCATCCATGTCTCTGGATCTTCCATTATGTCTGGCCTGAGCCCAGATCCCCACTTCTCTCTGTCTCTCTCTCTCTCTTTTATTAGTCCTGTGACTTGAACTCAGGACCTGGACACACTGTCCCTGAGCTCTTTTGTTCAAGGCCAGTGCTCTACCATTTTGAGCCACAGCTCCACTTCTGGTTTTTGAGTAGTTAATTGGGGATAAGAGTCTCACAGGGACATTTTCCTGCCCAGGCTGGCTTCACACTACGATCCTCAAATCTCAGCCTCCTGAGTAGCTAGGATGACAGGTGCGTGAGCCACCGGCACCTGGCGCTGGTCCCTATTTCTTTCCCATATCTTTCCCATATCTCCAACCAAGGCTGTATCGCTCACCCAGGAAGCGGACCAGCCTTCGCAGTGGAGGGCTGAATCGACAGCAGGCCCCAGACACGATGGTGCTTTCCCCGATGCTGGGGCTGGCTGAAGGTAGCACAGGAAAGAAGGCACGCGCCAACTCTCCCAGAAGGATCTGTGGGGCAAAACCAAAGCGAAGTCATCCTAGGCCTTCAAGCCCCCAGTTCTACCAGCCTCCCCCTTCCCCCAACCTGGCCTTTCTGTCCTCCCCACAGTCCTTCTGAGATGACCCACGTGATCTCACCGTGAGGGTGGGCCCAGCAGTGACCAGGGCATAGATGAGGGCCGGTGGTGCTCGGCTGGCGGCCTCAGGCCCTGGGTAGGGCTTGGTGTAGGTGCTGTCGTAGCAGAAAAAGCCTTGGGTGTGCACAGGGAAGGTGTCTGTGAACTCGAGGCGGTAAGCAAGTAGAACCACAATGCCCAGCAGCACTGACTGCACCCAGTCAGGGTGGGGGCGAGAGGCAGAGAAAAGAGATCAGAGATTTGAGGCCCCCTAGACAGACAGACACACACAGACACAGACACACACACACACACACACACACACACACACACACACACACGCAGGGAGAGGGACACAGAGTGGAAGAGGCTAAAATGGGAGATGGAGGCAGAGTGCGAAGGAGTTGATATTTTTTTGTTTGTTGTTTTTGGTGGGCCCTGGGGCTTGAATTCAGGGCCTGGGCCCTGTCCGAGTTCTTTTGCTCAAGGCTGGTGTTCTGCCACTTTGAGTCACAGCTCCACTTCCAGTTTTCTGGTGGTTTATTGAAGATAAGAGTCTCCTGGACTTTTCTGCCCAGGCTGAACTTCAATCCTCAGATCTCAGCCTCCTGAGCAACTGGGATTACAGATGTGAGCCACCAGCACCCAGCTGAGTTGATTCCTTTTAACTTTTAACTTTTTGTTGTTGTTGGTCGTGGGGCTTGAACTCTGGGCCTTGGTGCTGCCCCTCAGCTTTTCAGCTCAAGATGAGCACTTTTACCACTTGAGCCACAGCGCCACTTCCAGTTTTCTGGTGGTTTTCATGGACTTTCCTGCCTTGGCTGGCTTTGAACCATGACCCTCAGATCTCAGCATCCTGAGCAGCTAGGATGACAGGTGTAAGCCACCAGGCCAGGTGATTCCTTTTAACTTTGTAATGGCCTGGATTGTGTGTGTGTGTGTGTGTGTGTGTGTGTGTGTGTGTGTGAACTGGCATCACACTCAATTGGCTTTATTTTGCTCAAGGCTGGTACTCTACTACTTGAGACACATCTCCACTCGGCTTTTTGCTGTTTTCTTAGAAATAAGAGCCTCATGGACTTTGGTTCCCCCAGCTGGCTTTGAACTTGGATCCTCAGATCTCAGCTTCCTAAGTAGCTGGGATTATAGGCGTGAGCCAACACACCTGGTTGCTTTTGATGCTTTGCTGGATGGTTTTTGATACAAGGTCTTCGTATGTAGCCTAGGCTAGTTTTGAACTTCCTCCGGCCTCATTTTCTCCAGTATTGGGATTAACAGGCATGGGCCACCGCCCAGTTAACTATACCCATTTCATGGATGAGGAAACAGAGGCTGGGGCCTAGAGACCCTCATTTGGATAGATGGGGAACAGTGGAATTGAGAGGAATAGTTCTGAACCCGTTTATGACCATTTTGTTATTTTTTTTTCAAGAGGAGGGGAAAGTGATGGGGGTTTGGGTGGTGACGGGGTGAGCAACCAGGGAGGAGGAGAAGCAGGCAGGACTGGGAACCCCGATATAGGAAAAGGGCAACAAAGGTGGGAGACTGAAGTTGGACAGAGACAGAGAAAAAGGCTCCCCCCTCCCCCCTCCCCCCTCCCCTGGGCTGTTTCTGGGTTCTCACCTCCACAAAGACGAAGCAGGGGATGATGGAGAAACTCCTTTTCAGGTGAGGTCTCCCTCCCGCCATGGTGAAGGCTGGGCCTACAGAGTAGGGCAGACCCTTGACCCCCTGTGCCCCATTCTTGAGCAAGGATAAAGCCAAGGAGCTATGGCCCCGCCCACTGAGCCTTCTGGCCACACCTCCACAACCCAGTTGGTCATGGGGCTTGAACTCTGGGCCTGGGCGCTGTCCCTCAGCTCTTCAAGTCAAGGCCAGCACTCTACCACTTAGGCCACAGCACCACTTCTGGTTTTCCAGTGGTTTATTGGAGATAAGAGTCTCACAGACTTTCCTGCTCAGGATGGCTTTGAACCATGATCCTCAGATCTCAGCCTCCTGAGTAGCTAGGATGACAGGTGTGAGCCACCGGTGCCTGGCTGAGAATTCTATTTTCTGTCTGTTGGGGACCCCACGCCTGTCAGATCCCTTTCCTGAGCCCCTCCCCCAGCACCCCCATGGGAGCCCCTCTTCTGTCCTCGTGGTGCATTGGTGTGGGCTGATAGCCAGATCCTCCTTCTCTCCCAGCTGCTCCTGTCCTCCTCCTCCTTCCAGCCCAGCTGCCTCCCTCAGTCCCCCCTCCCGTCTAACCTCAGTCCCAGCATTTTGGGGGCCAATGGAAGCGGGCTCAAACCCACTGTCCCACCTGGTCTCACCTGTGAAGGCGCCCTATGGCCTCCTCCAGGACACCCCCTCGATCAGAGACTCACAGCTGCTCCTACTGGGCAGCAGAGCGAGGGTGATCACCCCCATTGCGCAGATGTGGAAAATGAGGCCCAGGCAGGCAAAGGTCGACACTGTGGGTCCAATACTCCATCCACAAGGCCTGCTCTATAGGGTGACATGTGAGGAGAGGGTCACCCAAATAACCCCACACCAGCACCCCCACAGCACATAAAGAAGCCACAGCCTCCACCCCAAATGCCAGGCACACAGAGACACGCTGTGACGTGGAGAGGACCGAGCTAGGTGCTTCCCTCATGGAGAACAAGACAGGCCTGCTCATTCAGGCAGACACTCCACGCTCACGACACCCCTAACTACACACACACACACACACACACACACACACGGTACAGTGTACGTACAGCCTGTCAGACACCCACACAGACCAAACATGTCCCCCTACACCATCACTCACCAGGGGACCCTGTGTGTATTATCACAAGCCATCCCTCCACCACAGTCACACCTGAGAGTTCACCGTCCACCACACACCAGCACACACCAGCACACACCGAGGCACAGAGCGGCCACAGAGTCACACCCCCACTTACAATGAGCCCCACAATCAGCAGTCCGAGGGGAGAGACTAGGAGCCATGTACAAACCACAGCCACATGGTCGCCTAAGGGCACAGAGCTGGGTCACGACACGGGGACACAGATACTCACACACAGCCACACTATCACCCCAAAAAGACACAGGATCCCAGACACACTCATACCCTGAACACACACACAGTGACAGCCAGACTCACACAATCGACAGTCACCCAACCATGCCAGCACATCCTATCAGACACCCACAACACACACACACACGTCGGTGGCAGGCGCAGGAGACAGACACACACCGCAGACACACCCGAGGCCACCACAGATTCACAACCAGCACCGCACCATCACCCACAGACACGCTCGCCACCATCGCCTGCCCTCTCAGGCCTGGGGTCCCCCCTCCCCCGGGATCGCGCCCCCTCCCCTCCCCTCCCCCGCCGGACCCCCACCGCGCGAGCCCACGTCCTGGCCTGGACCGCGGATCCCGGGCTCAGGGGGACGCCTCAAGCCCCTCCCTCACCTATCTAGGTCGTCGCCGCCGCCTCTCGAGACCCTGGCTCCGCCCAGAAGGGGGCCGGCGCCGCGGGACAGACAGACCAGGCTGGACGGACCGGTGGACGGACGGACGGACGGAAGCGGAGACTGAGACCCGGACAGCCCGGCCCGGCTGAGCCGCGCAGACTCGGCGGCCCGGGGAGGGGAGGAGCCTCCCGACAGCTCATTGGCAGAACCCAGCCAGGGGGCGTGGCGTGCTGGGTCTCATTAGCATGCGAGGGCGGGGCTTTCGCCGCTCGGGGGGCGGGGCTGGTGGCGTGGACGGCGATGTGGACCGAGCCGGGGTGCGGGGGACCCCGGGGGAGCGGGAGGGCGGGGTTCCGACTCCGGGACTCAGTGTCCCCTAACTTTGGCGTTAGCCATGGAAACCCAGATCTTTCAGGGACCCCCTGAGGCGCTGTGGAAGAGCCTGTTGGGCCACTCAAACCGGTCCCCAGTGACCCTTGACCTTGTCCCATATCTACTAAGTCCCCATCTGAAGTCCCCTGACTTCAGCTGCATCCCCAACTGACCTTGTGTGTGTGTGTGAGAGGGAGACAGAGACAGACAGACATGGGAGGGGGGGTGTCTCTGCACAGTTCCCAGACACTGAGAAGAAAATCTGGGGGCTAACGTGGTGGTGGTGGGGTGGTGACTGGCAGGTTTTGAGGCTCAGGAAAGCAGCAGGGGCGGGAGTCCGGGGCGGAGAAGGATCTCTGCTAGTTTTATTTTCTCTCTGGAGGGATCTTCTGGGTGAGCAGTCCCGGCTGCTCAGGCTGAGGAGAGAGAGAGAGAGAGGGCACATCAGGGCCTGCCTGGACTCAGGGAAGCCCCAGGACTGCGAGGCAGGGCTCCACACACCGGGGTGAGGAAGCTAGGGCTGGGGGGAGCCCTGCCCTGGCGGTGGGGAGGGGGCAGCAGGGAGGAGCAGGGAGGGTTCACACCGGGTGGGAAGGACTGGTTGTTGGTGAAAGGCGGGGGTTCCCAGTCAGAGTCTGAGTCCCAGGAGGGGAGCAGCGGGCTCAAGCGCTGAGGGCTCAGGCAGCGATGCCCCTTGCGGCCTGTGGGAGAGACGGGGAGGCGACGCTGGCTATTTGTCCAGCAACCGCCATCCCGAGCGATGAAAGCGCAGGGATCCATGCTACTGGATCACAGAGGATCCTAGAGGATCATCATCTCACGGTCATCCCCAATCACAACCCCAGTTACTCTTGGGAGAGATCCTACATGATTGATACCCCATGATTCCCAGATGAAACCTCCAAGGAACTCTTGTTTGGGGTTTTCTGTAGCCCAGACTGGCTTCTTCTAACCCTCTCCAGTCTCCTCCTTCTGACTGCTGAGATTACAGGTGTGTACCACCATGCCCAACTTTCCACTAACTCTCTAAGACTATCTATATTAATAACTCTCTATAATAGAAATGTGATCACAGAATAGAGAGCCAACTAATATAACATCCCTCTGCCCCCAGCTGGAGAGAGACTTCCAGATCCCTCTTGGTTGCTCGAGACCCTCACCCCTGAGGTTTGAGGCCTTGGGAAGGGTCCCAGATGACATGTTGAGACCATCGACGGAATTCTGTAGCCCATGCACAGCTGACCTGTGGAGAGATGGAGAGATGGGGACTCTGGGAGGTGTCAGATTGCTCAGGAAGAGGACAGCAGCTGTGGACAGGGGTGAGTCTTAGGGGAAGGAGGTGGCTAGACTCAAGTGGACCCCACATTCTTTTTTTTTTTTTTGGTCAGTGGTGGGGCTTGAACTCTGGGCTTGAGCGCTGTCCCTGAGCTCTTCAGCTCAAGGCTGGTGCTCTACCACTTGAGACACAGCGCCACTTCCCATTTTCTGGTGGTTCATTGGAGAGAAGAGTCTCATGATCTTTCTTGCCCGGGCTGGCTTTGAATCACAATCCTCAGATCTCAGTCTCTTGAGTAGCTAGGATGACAGGCTTAAGCCACCGGCACATTTTTGTGGTCAGTAGATGGTGTCTGGTAGGTGTGTGCGGGAGGTATGAATGGTCAGATGAGGGTCCTAGGTCAGACTAAGGGCTAGGTATTACCATATGTCACTCAGCTCTTTCTGGAGGTCATTCTTCCAGTAGTTACTGCCTTCTACAAACCCCCCTTCAGTCTCAGGACAGGCAGCTGGATCACAACCCTGCTGGGTCATCTTAGTCAGGACCTGGGGTTCAGGTGGGGAAGGGGTAAGAAATCAGACACGTCTGAATAATAAGAATCATGGTGACAGTGACTTCACACTTATACGCCAGTCTGCATGCATTCAAAGTGCCTAACAAGAGGGTACTGGTGACACGCCTGTCACCCCAGCTACTCAGGAGGCTGAGATGTGAGGATTGTGGCTCAAAGCCAGCCCGGGCAGGAAAGTCTGTGAGAGTCTTATCTCTAATTAACTAGCAAAAAAAAGCTAGAAGTGATGCTATGGCTCAAGTGGTAGAGAAGTAGCCTTGAGCATAAAAGCTTGTAGACAGAGCCCAGGGCCGGAGTTGAAGCCTCAGGACCAACACACACACACACACACACACACACACACACACACAGTGCTTACTTCTCAGTGAACACAGCTATCTGACCAGGGAGAGATGGACTGCTATTGTACCTATTATACACCTTATGGAGCAGGGAAACCTGAGGCCCAGAGACATCAAGTGAATTTTCCCCCACATTGGGTCACACAGCATTAAGTGGTAGAATGGGGATCTGAACCCAGCCTCCTGTCGTCGCTCACCTTGCGACACTTCACCTGCGTCTTCTGCATCTTTTGAATATTCATCAGGTTCTCCGAGATCTCTTCTTCCTGTGCCTCTGTGAGGGGTGGGGGCTCAGAGGGAGGGAGGTGGGACCCCACCCTACCCCATCTCCCCCCAGCTGTGGGCTTGTTGGTGGGGGGGAGACACTCACGAAGCTTCTGATAAATGAAGGACACCTCTTCTCGCACCAGCTCCAGCTCCTCCCACAGGAACTTCTTACTGAGAGGATGGGATGATCTAGATCCATAACCCCTTCCTCTCTCCCTCTAGACTCTGCCACCTGCCCACTTCCTCTCCTATAACTCCCTCACACCCAACATTCAACCCCATCCTCACCTCCTGAGCCTTGGTCTCCACTCTCACCCACGCCCCATCTTCAGCCTCCATCTTCCAGCCTCCTGACTCCCCAGCCTCCCCTGCTACTCCCCCAGCCCACTCCCTCCTTCCCCACCCCACCCAGCCTCCTCTCTCTGGGATCCCCTGAGCCTCCCACCCTCTGTTTCTGGACCCTGCACCCCCTCCACTGGCCTCCATTCCCCCAGGCCTCTCCCATTCAGTCCTCCTTCAGGCAGCCTCCACGCTGCCGGAAGGCCACCTGTCCCGGATCTCCTGGGCCAGCAGCTGCAGGCAGCGGGTGGTGCGGGCCCGCTGCATCTCCTCTCCGTCTTGCAGGGTCTTCTGCAGCCCGCGCAGGCCTTGGGCCAGGGCCCCGTACAGCTCCTGCCGGCCCTGCTCCGTGTTCCATTTTTGCCCCTTGTTTTCTGCCTGGCGGACCGAAGGGGTCAGCATATCTGCGGAGACCATGGAGGGAGCATGGGGCGGAGGCTGAGGCCGGCCGGGAAGCCAGCCTGCCCCTGCCTCGGACTGGCTGTGACCTGGAACTCAGGCATCCCCCAACCTCACTCCTCCCGGCCGGACCCTAACAGGACCAGCCTCCAACTTGACCTCGTCCTCCATTCCATCCTCAGCACTAACTTTGACCTCCATCTTGCCCTCACCTCTGACCTTGACCTCCATCTTGCCCTCTCCTCTGACCTTGACCTCCATCTTGCCCTCTCCTCTGACCTTGACCTCCATCTTGCCCTCTCCTCTGACCTTGACCTCCATCTTGCCTTAGCCATTGATCTTGACCTCTATCTTGTCCTCACCCTGGCCTTGACTTCCATTTTGTCTTCACCATTGACCTTGGCTTCCATCCCTTCCTCACCTTTGACCTTGACCTCTCTCCTATCCTCACCTTCGAGCTGCTGGATCTTGATCTGCTGCAGGCAGCTCTCTTTCTCCAACATAGTCACAGAGTGGTTCAGAAACTCAAAAGCCTGGTGGGCAGCAGGGAAGAGGTTGGGTCTGAGGTAAGGAGGAGGACAAAGCAGGGGCCAAGGCCGGTGCCAGTGGCTGGCATCCTAGCTATTCAGGAGGCCGAGATCTGAGGATCGCTATCCAAAGCCAGCCAGGGCAGGACAATGGGTGAGATGCTTTAACTGACCACCAAAAAGCTGCAAGTGGGAAGTGGAGCTGTTGGCTCAGGTGGTAGAGCGCTAGCCTTGAGCATAAAGCTCAGGGACGGTGCCTAGGTCCTGAGTTCAAGCCCCAGTATTGGCTGGAATGCACGCGCATGCGCATGCACACACACACACACACACACACACACACACACACACACACACACACACACCGAGAAAGGAAATGGACAGAGGTTTTGGGGACCGGGATGAGGTGATCACCTTTGTCTGAGCCTGGAGCTGAGTCTTGAGTGACTCTAGTTCACATCGCAAGAATTTCTGGGTGTCGGGAACTATCATGGCAGACTTAACTGTGGGCAGAGGTAAAGGGTGAGTTGGACCAGGGCAGGGACAGGGTAGGGGTAAGAGAACCTCGGAGGAGAGGGGGAATGCATAGAGCAGGGACAGGGCTGGGTGGGCCGTGATCAGGGAGATTTGTCATTTCAGGGTATATCTTCCTTATATCACTCGGTGGGGTAGGTGGATTCTCACCTTTGCTTTTAGAAGAGATGGTCTCCAAGGACTTCTGAAAAATGGGGACAAAAGGGGAGCAGAAATTTGTCCCTGGAAAGGTCACTCTGATCCACTTTGGAGGACAAGACAAGAACTGGGTTTCTTGGTTTCTAGGTGTTGCAAACCAAGGGTGCATGTAACGCTGCCTCCAAGTGCACATTCATGCACCTCCTTTGTGTGGCTCTTCCCACCTGTGTGTGGGCTGGTGGGCTGTCCCCGACCGCAGGTGCCGACCCTGATGCCGGCTTGGGCTCAGGCGGTGGCACTCTTCATTCCCAATAACATCAGGAAAATGGATGCCGTGGGCACAGCTCTATGTAGCCGACACACCTAAAACCATGCATCCTGGCTAAAACACAATCTCAGCCACATCCAAGCTCAGTCACAAGCATAAATAACTCACTAGACTTAGGGCATCCTAGCATATATCTCTGACACACAGTCACAACCACGCAGACACACAAGCAAAGTCATCCCAGAGACAATGAGGGAGAAAACCCTGCCAATGCATCCCTCCCATTCTCAACACTTGGATGAGCCGAGCGTGATAGCTCATGCCTGTAATCCCAGCTACTCAGGAGGCTAAGAATCAGGGTTGAGAGCCAGTTCGGGCATGCAAGTCTATGAGACTCTTATCTGAACCAGCAAAAAGGCAGAAGTGGAGCTGTGGCTCAGATTGGTAGAGTGGAAAAGCTCAGAGACAGTGCCCAGGCCCCGAGTTCAAGCCCCAGTAGGGGCACCTTCCCCCCATCCCCCAAATAGGAAGACCTGCCTGCGAGGGGCGGTGTCCTAGGTGTGGAGCCATACACTGAAGGCTCTACAGAGTTCCCCATCCACAACCCCAATTCTCTTATTCCCTCCTCCCAGTACTAGATCACAGTGACTTAAGAGACTTCCTGTCTTGAGGGGTGTTTCCTGAGTGGGGGTGACCTTGGCTAGTTCGTGTTGTCTCTTCAGAAGCTTCTGCTCATGACAGTGCTTCTTCTGCAGGTCTAGGTTGGAATAGGAGGGAGTCCCATGCGGCGGAGGCCCTGAGCCCCACCCCGGCCTCCAGCCTACGCTCCTCACAAAGACCTCAGAAGCAGCAGGTCCCACGGCCTCTAGCTCTGATGTCCTGGACCAGTAAGTCTTGAAGTCCAAAGCCTTGTCAGAGGAAGAGCCTAAGGAGAACAGGTTCCTTGAAGCTTAGCCCAATCTTCTCCCTCCCCAGCCCTCCAGACCTCAGAACAAGCCCCGCCGTGAACCCCTGTACTTATTACACTTCTCTGCATTGGCAGAAAAACACGTATCCGAGGGTGAAGGAGGTGAGCACTGATAGGATACAGAGAAGTCGGGGTCCAGGGGTAGGCCGGCCAAAAGAGGGTCACTGCAAATGGAGATGGGGGGACAGGAGCTGTTTTGAGATCAGCCCCCAAGTCTTCCTTTCTTCCCCTCCCAGGTCTTCCTCCGCCTCCTGCCCAACACTCTGATGTCTTGAACACGTGTGTGTGTGTGTGTGTGTGTGTGTGTGTGTGTGTGTGCTGGTACTTAGGACCTGGGTGCTACTGAGTATTTTTTTTACTCAAGGCTAGCATTCTACTACTTAAACCACAGCTCCAAGTCTGGCTTTTTGCTGGCTAAATGGAGATAAGAGTCTTACAGACTTTGAACCCCGATCCTCAGATCTCCACCTCCTGAGCAGCTAGGATTACAGGCGCAAGCTATCAAAGCCTGGCTTGGTTGTATGGGTTTTGAACTCGGGGCTTTGTGCTTGGCTAAGCAAGTGCTCTAGGATTGGGGGTCATGCACCCCTACCATGACCCCCCCACCCCCCACCCCAGCCCAAGAACATCATTGTTAACCAAAGAAACCCTCCAGCTGGACGGCCCTGGGTTCAAATCCTCACCCTGTCCCCTCCCCCAACCGTGTGGCTCGCGGACCCCAGCAGTGGGAGGTCAGAATCTGCTCTCCAGAGTCACGCTGAGAACTTGGGGGTGGAGGCAATGGAACCCTGAGCGGACTAGACGCGGGACAGGCATCTGGGAGTGTCGAATGTGCACGGCCATGCCTCTCCAGCCTGGGACCCCCCGTGTCCCCAAGGCCTTGGGCCCTGTGCCCACCCGGCTCCCAATCCCCTTCCGTTCCCACCTACCACATATCACCTGTTCATGCTCTCCCATGAGAGACCGCGAAGCCAGCCCCCAGCCGTGACGCTGAAATTTGATCCCGTGGGGACACCATCGCTGGAAAACGTGCCGGAGTTGAAGGCCGAGTCACAGAGAGGGGTGTGGCCTGCACTTTAGCTCCGCCCCCTCGCCTGGCTAGCCCCCGACCTCATTGGCCCTTTAAGGTTACCTCCACTGTATGATTGGATAAAGGCCTAGCCGAGGGGGGCGGGATTTCGAGGCAGTTCCGGATAATCTATTAGTCAATGCCTAAGGCGGCGGGACAGATGAGGGCAGGTGTGAGATCCCATTGGTTTAAGGCTCAGCGGAGAGGCGGGACTGCTTCCTGATTGGGGAAAGGGAGAGCTCTACCCGAGGCGACGGCCCGCCGCGGGGTCCGCGCTCCGCCGCGGTGCACGGCCCGGAGCTGCTGCGCCGTTCCCGGTGGTCCTGGTGATCTGGCCCCCGGCGACCCGATCGGCCCGACTCGCGACTCCAGGTGCTTCGCGCTGAGATCCGGGGCCCTGGCGGCGCGGTCTGTGTCCCCTGGATGAGTTGGGGGTCTCTGGGTGGTTTGGGGGTGTTCATAGGAGATCTCTCGGGTTCTTTTAGGAGAGGAAGGGCGGGGTTTAACTCAGAACTGGATTCTGGGGTGACCCTTGGGAGTCACTAGGGGTGCGGACTTGAGGTGCTAGGGCTGAAAGTTGGGGGGGAGAATCTCGGAGGTAGCGAGAGCCTGAGGTTCTTTCTGTGTGTGTGTTGGTATTGGGACTTGAACTCGGGGCCTGGGTGCCAAGGCTGACAGCTCCAGAACGGCTTTATGTTGGCTAACTGGAAATGGCCTGGGCTGTCTTTGAACCCAGATCCTCAGATCTCAGCTTCCTGAGTAGCTAGGATTACATCGTGAGCCTGTTTAGGGAGCTTGGAATTTTTATTTATTTAAGGCATGCTAAGGATGGCCTCAGCTCCTGGCCTGGCCAACGCTCTGCCCCCTGAGCCACGCCCCCCAGTCCAGAGTCTGAGATCCTGATTGGAGTGTTGGAGGGACTTCCCACCCCCCCACCCCCAATCCTGGGTTGCTTCCCCTTGATCTCTGCGGGATTGGCAGTGACCTGGCCCCTAGACTCTGGGCTTGAAGGGCAAAGGGCAAAGGTAAAGCTTTGAGTCACCGGTGCCACCTTCTCCAGGGCTGCAAGATGGAAGATGGCGGGGACTCAGGAGGTCTGATTAAGGTGATCCATGTACTGGTCTTGTCAGGTGCCTGGGGCATGCAAATGTGGGTGACCTTCGCCTCAGGTAGGGACCCCCAGCCTAACCATCCTGGGCACTGGGAGTGGGAAGGGCCCTCGGTAAGCGTCCTAACCTCTGGTGTCCTGCCTCCCAGGCTTCCTGCTCTTCCGAAACCTTCCTCGACATACCTTCGGCCTCGTGCAAAGCAAGCTCTTCCCTTTCTATTTTTACATCTCCATGGGCTGTGCCTTCACCAATCTTTGCATCTTGGCTCCTCAACGTGCCTGGATTCAGCTTACATTCTGGGAGGCCAGCCAGGTACGTGGGCTTGAGTGCCGCCATTCCCCACAGACCTAATCCCCAAGACCCCACCTAGAGTGACAAGTTTTCTAGGAAAACAAAAGGGGGGGATGGGGGCTCTTTGTAGATAGAGTACCGGGTGTCTTTGTGGGTATCTGGGGCGTGCACAGCCTTCACGACTGTCCCTGGCAGCCTAGTGTATTCCAGAAGATCTCTCCACTGGCTTTTTCTTCCTCTGCTCCCTGTCATTGGGTTCACTCCAGGCTGTGGTGACTCAGCGGAGCTGGGGCACTGACCCCGGTTCATTGTTTAAAAACCAGCCTGACTGGGAATTTACACTTCTCTATCCGCTCCCCACCCCTCTCCACACATTTGCTAAGCCACAAGGCAAGACACTATCTACCTCTGTCTCTCAAATTTCTCAACCCTGCCTTACTATATTCCTCAGGTGTGGGCGGGTGATTCCTGACAGGTGTTTCAAGAATAATCTCCCAGAGCCCGGCATGGTAGTGCATGTCTGTAATCCAGCACTTAAAGGAGGAGGATCCTGAGTTTGAAACCAGCCTGGGTTCCTAGTGAGATCCTGTTAAAAAAACAAAACAAGGGCTGGCTTCCCAGGGCTGGCTCAGTGGTAGAGTGCTTACCTTGCATGCATAAGGCCCTGGGTTTGATTCCTCAGCACCACATAAGCAGAGAAAGCCGGAAGTGGCGCTGTGGCTCAAGTGGTAGAGCATTAGCCTTGAGCTAAAGAGCTGTGGAACAGTGCCCATGTCCAGAGTTCAAGCCCCATCAAACAAAACAAAAAATAACAAAAAAAAAGCAAAACTGGTACCTCTTGCATGCTACTCAGGAGGCTAAGATCCAAAGGATCACAGTTCTAAACTAGCCAGGCCAGGAAAGTCCCTGAGACTCCATCCACAAAATAACCAGCAAAGGGCCGGGAAGGTGGCTCAGTGGTAGAGCGCTTACCTTGCATGCACGAGGCCCTGGGTTTGATTCCTCAGCACCACATAAGCAAAAAGAAAAAGCCGGAAGTGGCGCTGTGGCACAAGTGGTAGAGCGCTAGCTTTGAGCTGAAGAGCTGAGGGACAGCGCCCAGGCCCAGAGTTCAGGCCCCATGACCGGACCCCCCCCCCCCCCCAAAAAAAAATAACCAGCAAAAAGCAAATCTAGAAGAGTGGTAGAGGACCAGCCTTGTAAGCACTCTGAGCAAGGGTGAGGTCCTGAGTTCAAACCCTGGTAGTGGTAATATAGATATACACATATATAAATAATATGTGTGTGTGTGTCACAGACAGTAGAGGTAATGGGTCTCACAGGCATTTTATTGACTTTCTGTGAGACTCATCTCCTGGGGTTTGGGCCACAGAGAAAAGAAATGAGCCCTATCTTGGAGACCCCTGGTTTAGGGGAACAAAAGAACAATTCGAATTCTTTTTGTTGTTGTTGTTGTTGGTGGTCATGGAGCTTGAACTCTGGGCCTGGGCGCTGTCCCTCAGCTCTTCAGCTCAAGGCGAGCGCTCTACCACCTGAGCCACAGCGCCACTTCCAGCTTTTTCTGCTTATGTGGTGCTGAGGAATGGAACCCAGGGCCTCATGCATGCAAGGCAAAACTCTACCACTGAGCCACCTTCCCAGGCTAGTAATTAGAATTCTGTAGCTTAATTTCTGGTCATCTTAAATAACCTCGATTTTGGGGAACAGTGGATGAGAAACAAGACCCTGTCCATAAACCTGGTAACAGAGGAGTCTCAGGAGTTTGGGGGGAATATAGGAAAGAGAGCCTTCCCTTAGGAACCCCTGATGTTGGGGAACACTGTGAGCATTGAGAAGGGACCCCTCCCGGATCCCCATCCTGCCTCCCAGCCTAGTGAGTACCTTCACCTCCGCCATCCCCCCATCAGCTCGGCCTGCTACTCCTGAGCCTCACGCTGGCCACTGTCAATGCCCGCTGGCTGGAGCCCCACACCACGACCACCATGTGGGCCCTGCAGGCCATGGAAAAGGAGCGGGGCCTGGGCGGGGAGGTACCCGGCAGCCACCAGGGCCCCGACCCCTACCGCCAGCTGCGAGAGAAGGACCCCAAGTACAGTGCCCTCCGCAAGAAATTCTTCCACTATCACGGCCTGTCTACTCTCTGCAACCTGGGCTGCCTGGTGAGCAACGGGCTGTGCCTGGCCGGCCTGGCCCTGGGCCTCAGGAGCCTGTAGCATGGGCCCTGTGTGTAAATAAATGCTTCTTTCAAAATGACTGGTAGTTTCTCTGCCCCCTCTCCATTAGGCACACATGGCCTGTTTCCCCCATTCCCGAGGCTTAAGGATTTGGGGTGTTAGCTATTGCAGCTCCTAAGTGTCTCTCTGTTGTTATTGTGATGAGGATGGTGTGTGTGTGTGTGTGTGTGTGTGGCCTGGTCCTGGAGCTTGAATTCAGTACCTGGGTGCCGTCCCTTAACTTTTTCCACTCTCCCACTTGATTCAGAGCTCCATCCACTTCTGGCATTTTCCTGGTTTAATTGGAAATCAGAATTTCTCGGATTTGTCGGCCCAGGCTGGCTTTGAACCATGATCTGCGGATCTCAGTTCTCCTGAGTAGCAGAGATGACAGGTGGGAGCCACTGGCGCGGGTCCCTTGTGTTTTTGTTGTTGTTTTGTTTTTGTTTTTCCGTATTCGGTCGTGGGCCCTGAACCCTGGGCCTGGCCGCTGCCCCTCAGCTCTTCAGCTCAAGGCTAGCACTCTACCGCTTGAGCCACAGCGCCACTTTCGGCTTTTTATGGTCGTTCATTCGAGAGTCTCACGGAATTTCCTGCCCGGGCTGGCTTTGAACCGCGATCCTCAGATCTCAGCCTCCTGAGTAGCAGAGATGACACCAGCGCCCGGCCCCTTGGTTTTCTTACTGCGGAAGAGGTTCTAATACCCAGAGAGAACAAGACTGCCAAGTGATGGAGCTGGGATTCGAACCCCACTCCCCAGTCCTCCGGCCAGCCTATGGTCATTTTCTACCCTCGGTTAAGGAAGGTGTCAGTTGTCAGGTTGTCCGGGGCGGGTTGGCTCCTTCTGCGCCCGCAGCGTCCGGCCCCGCCCACCCGCGCTCGGCAGGCGCAGCCCCGCCCACCACCGTGCAGGCCCCGCCCACCCGGGCTCGGCAGGCACAGCCCCGCCCACAAACGGTCTCTGGCTCCGCCCTCCACCGCGCAGGCCCCGCCCACCCGCGGCCGCCGGCCCCTTCCTCACAATCCCCGCCCCCAACGCACCTCCAGCAGCGCGCACTTGCTATCGCTGACCACACCCTCGGGACCCGCCCATCCGCACCCTTCAGCCCCGCCCCCGTTAGGCCCCGCCCACCGCGGCCTGCTGGCCCCGCCCCTCGCCGTGGCAGGCCCCGGCCCCTCCCTCGCCGCCTGGGCGGAGCCCGCGCGGGATCCGGGTGGCTGCGGACGGCGCGGTGGTGGCGACTGCGGGGCCGGGGTCGCGGCCGGGGTCAGGCCGCAGCAACTAGGGAGGCGGACACCTGCGGGCAGCGTCCGGGATAAGAGGTGATCCCCTGCGCAGGAGCGCACCCGCTTCCCTTGCGCGTGCCTGCCGGTCCGGCGGCGGGAGGGGGTCGGGGCAGGGCCTGGGGACCAGGGCGAGGCTGCGGGGACGCGGGTCCCGCGCCCGCACCCCGCTGGGCTCCCCGGGCCGGGCCGCGGGCGCGGGCGCGGGGCTGAGGCCCGGCCGGGGACCCGCGGGCGGTCCATATGGCGATGGGGGAGGCGGCCGGCGCCCCAAGCCCACGGGGAAGGGGGCCGGGTCCGAGGGCCCCGGACCCTCACCTGGTGCCCGGTGGAGGGAGGTGGGGCTGGGCCGGGGCCGCAGCCTGGCGGCCCTGCGCCGCCCCAAACTCGTTCTCCGGGAACTCGGGGTGGGGCTGGCTGGGTCCTGGCTGAAAAAAAAGAAAGAAAACGCCCGGTGGTCATTGAGAAACAGCTCGGCGGGGTGCCCGCCTCTCCTCCAGTTCCGGAAGCTGCGGTAGACAGCTGGGGGAAACTGAGGCCTGGGGCAGGACCCAGAGCTGAGCCTCCTCCCCGCCTACCCCCCCCCCCAATGCATACTGGGTGTTTGCAAATGCTTGCAACTTGGTTATGGGTCCCAAAGCAGAGTCTTGGGGGCGGGGGGGGGGCGCAGGCGGAGGGGAACAGGACCACCAGGGTGGTGGTCGTGGAAGTGGGGGGCCTGAGATAACTAGACGCCTGGGACCCTGTTTTTTTGGCCTTGGAGGAATCGATCTCCTGCCTCCCTGGGTTGAGTCTGAGTTTGAGTCAGCCTCGCAGAAGAGGGAGAAAGTTCCAGCCCCTTTGACAAATAGAAAATAGCAAGTACCAACTTGCAAGCAGAGCCGGGGATTTACAAATGTTCTGTCTTGGGAATTCAGGGAAAGGGTTAAACTGGGCTTGGGGGGGGGCCGGGCAGGCACCCCAGTAGCCAATACCTGCCAAAGTCAACACATGCCCAGGAAAAGGGGGGGGGGGGGAATCTGTCCAGCTGGCAGGTGCCTCCAGATCATACCTGGGCTTTACCAGCTGCCTACCTGAGAGCAAAGTCCACACGTGTGGTGCAGCCTGGGCGCCCCTCTGCCCTAGCCTTGAATTTCTGAGCAGTGGTTATACCCTGGGTATCAATACGAACTCTCTAGAAAGCATGTGGGAAGCCTTCCTCCTGCCCTTTGTCTTATTCACAGCTGTGTCCTTGCCAGGAACAGCCCCTGGCACAGACAGGCTGGGTGTGTTCATTGAATGAATAAAGAAACTCATTTGGGCCAGGTGCTGCTGGTTCAAATCTCTGATCCTAGTTACTCAGGAGGCTGAGATCTGAGGATCCTGATTCAAAGCCAGTGTGGGCAGACAAAGCTGTGAGATTCTGATTTCCAGCTGACTAGCAAAAAAAAAAAAACAAAACAGAGAGACTGGAAGTGAGGCTCAAGTGGTAGAGGGCCAGCCCTCAGCAGGAAAAGTCAAGGGAGTAGGGGAAGCTTTGAGTTTGAGCCTCAAGCCAGGCTCTGGTGGCTCATGCCCGTCACCCTAGCTACTCAGGAGGCTAAGTTCTGAGGACCCCAGTTCAAAGCCAGCCTAGGCAGGAAAGTCTGTGAGACTCCTATCTGCAATGAACCACCAGAAAACCAGAAGTGATGCTGTGACTCAAGTGGTAGAGCACTAGCCTTGAGCTGAAGAGCTGAGGGACAGCGCCCAGGCCCAGAGTTCAAGCCCAGCAACTGACAAAAAAAAAAAAAGAGTTTGAGCCTCAGTACTAGTGTATACACACACACACACACACACACACACACACACATACACACACCTCATTTTAGGCTCCCAACCAATTAAGTTTTTTTTTTTTTTTTAATCGGTTGTGCCTCTTAAATTCAGGACTTAGGAGATATCCCAAACCTCTTCTTGCTCAAGGATAGTGCTCTACCATTTGAGCCACAGCACCACTTCTGTTTGTTTATTTTTGTCGGTCATGGGGCATGAGCTCTAGGCCTGGGCGCTGTCCCTCAGCTCTTTAGCTCAAGGCAAGCGCTCTGCCACTTGAGCCAAAACGCCACTTCCGGCTTTTTCTGCTTATGGGGTGCTGAGGAATCGAACCCAGAGCCTCGTGCATGCCAGGCAAGCACTCTTCCACTGAGCCACCTTCCCAGCCCCACTTCCTGGTTTTAAATGGTTAATTGGAGATGTGTCTCATGGGGGACTTTTCTCCTGGGCTGGCTTTGAACCGCCATCCTCCGATCTCAGCCTCCCTGAGTAGCTAGAACTACAGGTGTGAGCCACTCCTGCCTGGCCATCCAATGGCCTTTTATGGTAGGAACTAAGAAAAGCATCCCGTTTTCCAGAAGAGGATGTTGAGAGCCAATCAGTGAGAACAACATAACGCCAGGTGATTTGGATCTCCACCTGGCAGAGCCAGGATTTGAACCCAGGCCAGGTAGATCCACCGAACCTGCCATTGGTGTCTGATTGCATCCTTCAGGGCTGCGGTCAGCTGCAGCTGCGGATCCCCCAGGTCTCCGTGATGGCATCGGCCGGAGACCCCCCTGCGGGCCCCCGGGACGCTGCCGACCAGAACTTCGACTACATGTTCAAGCTGCTGCTCATCGGGAACAGCAGCGTGGGCAAGACGTCCTTCCTGTTCCGCTACGCCGACGACTCCTTCACCCCGGCCTTCGTCAGCACCGTGGGCATCGACTTCAAGGTCAAGACCGTCTACCGCCATGACAAGAGGATCAAGCTGCAGATCTGGGTGGGCCGGGGCTGCTGCGCAGGCGTTGGTGGGAGGGGCAGGGGGAGGGGGAGGGGGTAGCATGTCCCCCGGGAGAGGTGACCCAATGGAGGGGCTGAAGAGGAAAGTGGCATCTCCGGCCAGGGCACAGCCCCCTAGATGCCCTCGCCCTTCCTCTATCCGGTCTGCAGAGCCCCCCACCCCCACCCCAGCTGCTGGCAACGGTTGTCATGGTAACAGTGGAATGAAGATGGAGCCCTCCTAGCCCAGCTCCATCTGCGCGGCCACTAAGTGGTCCCTGGAAGCAAGGTCAAGGGGAGGGGGCAGTGTCATGCCTCCCCCATCAGACTGGCACATAAGGGCAGGTCCATTCCTCCCCCAGCGAACTGGACATGAAGGCAGGTCTGCCTCCCCCATCAGACTGGGGCATGAGAACAGGTCTGTACCACCCCCATCAGGCAGGGCCATGCCTCCCTCAGACTGGGCATGTCAGGCCAGTGCCTCCCCCAGCAGACTGGGGCATGAGGGCAGGTCTGTGCCTTCTCCATCAGACTGGGATTTGAGAGCAGGTCCCTGCCTCCCCCATCAGACTGGGCATGAGGACAAGCATGCGCCTCCCCCATCAGACAGGGTGTGCGGGTAGGGACCAGGTGGGCCGCAGCCGGCTGACCGCTGCTCCCGCAGGACACAGCGGGCCAGGAGCGCTACCGCACCATCACCACGGCCTACTACCGCGGCGCCATGGGCTTCCTGCTCATGTACGACATCGCCAACCAGGACTCGTTCACCGCCGTGCAGGACTGGTGAGGCCGGGCGCCCCGCTGACCCCCGCCCCGGGCCTTCCCGGCCCCCAGCCCCTGGCTCACGGCCCTCCCCTCCACAGGGCCACGCAGATCAAGACCTACTCGTGGGACAACGCGCAGGTCCTCCTCGTGGGGAACAAGTGCGACCTGGAGGAGGAGCGCGTGGTCCCCGCCGAGGACGGCCACCGGCTGGCCGCTGACCTGGGTCAGTGCACAGCCCCACCCCGGCCTCCAGGCCCAGAGCCAACCCCAGCACCCGGCTCCATTTCGGGGGACCCGCCCACAAACACTCCTGGAACCCCAGATCATTACAATGGAAGCTGATTTTTCTTTTTTGTTGTTGTTGATGGTGGGTGGGGCTTGAACTCTGGGCCTGGGTGCTGTCCCTCAGTTCTTCAGCTCAAGGCTAGTGCTCTACCACTTGAGCCACAGCGCCACTTCTGGGTTTCTGGAGGTTTATTGCAGATAGGAATCTTACAGACTTTCTCCCCGGGCTGACTTTGAACCGAGATCCTCAGATCTCAGCCTCCTGAAGCTGATTTTTCAGTTCATTATCTCCTTCATTCCTTCCTTCCTTCCTTTCTTTCTTTCTTCTCCATCCTTTTTCTCTTTCTTCCTTTTTCTCTCTCTCTCTTTCTTTCTTTCTTTCTTCTTTTTCCAGTCCTGGGGCTTGAACTCAGGGCCTGGGCACTGCCCCTGGTCATCTTTTGCTGCAGGCTGGCGCTCTATCACTTGAACCACAACGCTGCTTTTTTTTCTAAATGGCTCATTGGAGATTAGAGTCTCATGCACTTTCTGCCTGGGCTGGCTTCGAACCATGATCCTCAGATCTCAACCTCTTTTTGTTTTTTTTTGGGGGGGGGGGTCATGGGCCTGAACTCTGGGCCTGGACGCTGTCCCTCAGCTCTTCAGCTCAAGGTGAGCGCTCTAGCACTGAGCCACAGCTCCACTTCCAGCTTTTTCTGTTTATGTGGTGCTGAGGAATCAAACCCAGGGCCTCATGCATGCAAGGCAAGCGCTCTACCGCTGAGCCACCTTCCCAGCCCCAGATCTCAACCTCTTGAGGAGCTGGGATTACAGGTGTGAGCCACTGGTGCCCAGAGTTCATTATGTTTTATACTGTTTCAACAAATCACAACCAACCACCCAGTGTTGTGCAGTCCACAACTTAATGAATGGTTTGGGGTTTTGTTTTTTATGTTTGTTTGTTTGTTTTCTGGTACTGGGTCTTGAACTCTGGGCCTGTGTGCTGTCCCTCAGCTCTTCAGCTCAAGGCGAGTGCTCTACCACTTGAGCCACAGCACCACTTCCAGCTTTTTCTGTTTATGTGGTGCTGAGGAGTTGAACTCAGGGCCTCATGCATTCAAAGCAAGCTCTCTACCACTGAGCCACTTCCCAGCCCTGGTTTGGGGTTTTTTAATGTGTGTGCCAATCCTAGGGCTTGAACTCATAACTTGGGTGTTGTCCCTTAGGTTCTTGTGTGTATGTGTGTGTCCGGTCATGGGGCTCGAACTCAGGGCCTGGGCGCTGTCCCTCAGCTCTTCAGCTCAAGGCTAGCACTCTACCACTTGAGCCACAGCGCCACATCCAGCTTTTTTCTTTTTGCTTATGTGGTGCAGAGGAATTGAGCCTCATGATGCAAGGCAAGTGCTCTACCACTGAGCCACCTTCCCAGCCTCAGGTTTTGTTTTTTTTTTAACTCCAGGCTGGTGCTCTACCTCTTGAACCACAGCTCCTCTTCTGGCTTTTTACTAGTTCATTAGATAAAAGTCTCAGGGAGGGGCTGGGAAAGTGGCTCAGTGGTAGAGCGCTTGCCTTGCATGCCTGAGGCCCTGGGTTCGATTCCTCAGCACCACATAAGAAAAAAAAAAGCCGGAAGCGGCGCTGTGACTCAATGGTAGAGCGCCAGCCTTGAGCTGAAGACCTGAGGGACAGCGCCCAGGCCCAGAGTTCAGGCCCCATGACCGGACCAAAAAAAAAAAAAAAAAAAAAACTCTCAGGGAGCCAGAGGACAGTGGCTCACGGCTGTCATCCAGCTACTCAGGAGGCTGAGATCTGAGGATCACAGTTCAAAGCCAGACTGAGCAGACAAGTCCATGAGACTTTTTTTTTTGTCAATCATGGGGCCTGAACTCTGGGCCTGGGCGCTGTCCCTCAGCTCTTCAGCTCAAGGCTGGCGCTCTACCATTGAGTCACAGCGCCACTTCCGGCTTTTTTTTTTTTCTTATGTGGTGCTGAGGAATCGAACCCAGGGCCTCAGGCATGCAAGGCAAGCACTCTACCACTGAGCCACCTTCCCAGCCCCTCTGTAAGATGCTCATCTCCAATAAACCACCAGAAAGCCAGAAGTGGTGCTGTGGCTCAACGTGGTAGCATGGTAGCCTTGAGGGCAAAAGCTCAGGGACAGCGCCCAGGCCCTGAGTTCAAGGCCCACGACTAACTACAACAAAAAAGTAGCATTGAAATTCGCCTGGGCTCGGAGACCTCTCCCACCCCAGGAGGGTGTCTCATGAGTACCCCATGGTTTGCCCGTGCAGGTTTCGAGTTCTTTGAAGCCAGTGCCAAGGAGAACATCAACGTGAAGCAGGTGTTCGAGCGCCTGGTTGACATCATTTGTGACAAGATGAACGAGTCTCTGGAGCCCACCTCGAGTCCCGGCAGCAATGGGAAAGGCCCGGCCCTGGGGGACGCCCCCCCGCCCCAGCCCAGCAGCTGCAGCTGTTAGGGGTGATAACCCCCGCCCCAAATCAACCTTCTCCTGCAGGACAATGACTGAGGCACGAGCCAGGCACGGGGGCTGGCTCCAAGCTCAGAGCACCCCCTTCCCTCCTGCCCGCCCCCCTCCGCCCCCCGCGTGGTCCCCTTTGCTTCTAGAGCCTCGAGCCTCAGGACAGCTGGGCCTGGGGTCCTGGCTGTGCGCGAACTTGCTGCTTCCGTGGCATTCTCGTGGCTGGCCGTGGGCAGCGTGTCCTACCACGCGTCCAGCGGCGTCACCCGTGCCTTCCACTTCCGCCCGCGCCACCCCCGGCACCCAGCCTGGTGTTTACAAGCTGCCTGAGGCTGGGCGCTGGTGATGGCTCCCGCCCGTCATCCTAGCGACTCAGGAGGCTGAGATCTGAGGATCCCAGCTGGAGGCCAGCCTGAGCAGAAAGACCTCGAGACTAATGAGCCACCAGAGAACCGGAAGTGGCGCTGTGGCTCAAGTGGTTAGAGCACTTGCCTTGAGCACAAAGAGGCTCAGGGACGGCGCCCGGGCCCTGAGTTCAAGCCTCACAAGGGACAGAAGAGAAAACAAAGCTGCCTGAAGTTGGGGTGGCTTGTCCAAGTTCATGTTCGGGGAGGTGGCGATCACCTGTTTTTCTCAGGTTCCCTCAGCTTGGTCTCAGCTGGCTCTGTGAATCGCCTGGATGCCATGGTTCCAAGCTGGGGTGATGATTGGGGTTCCCCCATTACAGAGCCCCCCACCCTGCTCACAGAATGCTTGTGCAACACCGCCCCCCTCAAGTCCAACTGCTGTATAGAGCCATACCCTGGCATGGGGTCCCCAAAGTGCCTTGGTCCCTCCCCACCTCCCGCAATCTTTCACCCACTGCACCTCTGATGCTGAGACATTCTAGAACATTCCGTGTCTTTTCTTTTTAGGGCTTGAACTCAGGGTCTTGTGCTCTCTTGCTTGGCTTTTTCCGCTCAAGGCCGGTGCTCTACCACTTGAGCTACAGCTCTCCTTCAGCTTTTTGCTGGTTGGGGATGAGTTTCACACACTTTTCTGTCCTGGGCAGGCTTCTAATTGCAATCCTTAGTTCTCAGCCTCCTGAGTCGCTGGGATTATAAATGTGCCCAGCTTTCTAGAACATTCTGGCCACAGCAGATGGGGCTGAGAATTATCCAGCTCTTAATATTCCCACTGAAGACTGTCTGACCGGAGACCAGGGCTTCCCTCCTTATCTGACTGGTTGTATTTTAAGCAAGATCTTTACAAATCTCAACATCCTGCGCAAAAAGGAAGTTGACCAATGTCCACACAGCCCAGGCTGGCTTCTGTGTGTGTGTGTGTGTGTGTGTGTGTGTTACTGGGTTGAGCTTCAGGCTTCTGTGTGTGTGTGTGTGATACTGGGTTGAGCTCCAGGCTATACACTTGCTAGGCAGTTGATCTACCATTTGAGCCACATTCCCAGGCCTCTTGCTTTTGCTTAAGCTTTCTTTTTTTCCCCCAATATGGGGTCTCTCCTCCCCCCCCCCCCTCTGCCTGGTTGAGTCTGGACTGTGTTCCTCCTATTTGTGTTTCCTTTGTAGCTGGGATGGTAGGTATATGCCACAGTGCCCAGCCCTTCATTGATTAAGATGGAGTCATCCTGCAGATTCAGTGTCCTCAGCCTCCTCCCTAAGGATATGTGCGAACCACAGGGTCTGATTCAAGTTCAAATTTGTTTTGTGGGAGTTCTGTTTACCCTTTATCAGTGGACCTACTGATATCTTCCAAGAGAAGGTGATTTGTTTTTGCCAACACATCATTTGGAGTGCAAGTGAAGCATTTTGTTGTTGCTTTAACATTCAAAGGCATTTAAGAAAAGATGCTTGGGCCGGGCGCTGGTGGCTCACGCCTGTCATCCTAGCTACTCAGGAGGCTGAGATCTGAGGATCACGGTTCAAAGCCAGCCCCAGCAGGAGAGACCATGAGACTCCTATCTCCAATAAACCACCAGAAAACCGGAAGTGGCGCTGTAGCTCAAGTGGTAGAGCGCTCGCCTTGAGCTGAGGAGCTGAGGGACAGCGCCCAGGCCCAGAGTTCAAGCCCCACGACCGACAAAAAAAGAAAAAAAGATGCTTGGGGTGGGAAACAGGTGCCAGCGGCTCACACTGTAATCCTAGCTACTTAGGAGGCTGAGGTCTGAGGATCATGGTTTGAGGCTGGTTGGGTTAAAAACGTCCTCAAGACTCACTTTCCAAAATTAACTAACCAAAAATGTCAGGCTGGAGATGTGGCTCAAGTGTGAGACCCTGAATTCAAATTCTACTACCGACAAAAACAAACCAAAAAAAAAATTACCTGTTTTGGGGTTCTCTCAAGAGAACTCAAGGTGAGCCAATGTCCTTGAAAATCATGGGGTATGGGTGCTATTTATGGGCAGAAATTAAACCAAAGACCACGAGAAACCTGTCTTTCTCCCTCCTTCCCTCCCTCTGCCTTTCTTCCCTCCTTCCCTTTCTTGCTTTCTCTGGGGATCATCTTCTGTCTTTCTTTCCCCCTTCACTTAAAGAACCTGGCAGTAGAGCTGTAATAGTGCTACAGCCTCTCCCTAGCATTTCCCAAATCTACTCAGGCCGCCATCTCCATCCTCAGCCAACTCTCCTGGGCACCAGTCCCTTTCCATCCAGTAAGGATGGATGTGCACTTTGTTCTACACGAGAAAAAGAATAAAATCCCAAGAGGCTCAAACACAATTTGTTCTTTGATTTGCCCGGGTGAGCTGCGGCTGGAGGCCGCGGCGTGTAGGCTCACCTCTGAGAGGAGGCCAATGGCCATTTGTGGTGCACAGCGTTTTCTTCAGGCTGGAAGGCCCACTAGCTCTTTGAAGGTTTTTTTGGGACACCTAGGGGATTTGTAAAGCTGACTTGTGGGTGTGTCCCTGAGGGCGTTTCTAGAGATGATTGACTTGTGGGATAGCAAATGGTGCTGGAAGACCTGTCCTGATTGTCACTGGCATCATCCAATAAGCTGGAAGCATGGATGGAACAAAGGTAGGAGAAAGTTCATCAGCACAAGTTCCCTCTCTGCTTCCTGGCCACCATGAGGTCTGCAGCCTCCTCTGCCTCCAGTCCACCATGGATGCAAACCTCTGAATGTGAGCAGGAATGAACTTACTTTTGTTTTTCTAGGGTGTTGTTAAAAGGGATTCACTTTGATTTAAAGAAAAGGTGAAGCCGGCTGCCTGTGGCTCACGCCGGTCATCCTAGCTACTCAGGGGGCTGAGATCTGAGGATCGCAGTTCAAAGCCAGCCCAGGCAGGAAAGTCCGTGAGACTATGATCTCCAATAAACCACTAGAAAACCGGAAATGGCGTTGTGGCTCAAGTGGTAGAGCGCTTGCCTTAAGCTGAAGAGCTGAAGGACTGCCCAGGCCCAGAGATCAAGCCCGACAACCGACCAAAAAAAGAAAAAAAGGTGAGTCATTATAGCAAATGTTGAACTTGACAGGGAGGGGTTTGTGGGGCCCACAGACTTTGTGGCTGAGTCAGACCTTGTAGGATTAAAGAAGGGTTGTATATGTTTCCCAGAATGAAGGTGCTGGAAACAATTCCCCCAGTTCATACTGAATGGCACTTGGAGATTGGGGCTTGGGAAGCACGTTTGTGTTAGGTGAGGTACTGAGGGGGGGGCTTGTGTGAAGAGACACCCGAGTCCCCCAAACTTACTTGGTCTCTTTATACAAAGCCGTATGTAGCTTTGGGAATCTAGAGGGTCCCCACACACAAGAAGAACCTTGGCAGGTCTGGTAGACCTTGAAACTCCCAGCCTTCCAGATCAGAAACTAAAGCTTGTGTGTATTCTGGTAGAAGGGCTTGAACTTGTGGTCTGGGTACAGTCCCTTAGCTTTTTCATTCAAGGTTGGTGCTCTAGCACTGAGCCTCAGCAGCTCAACTTCCTGGGTATTTTTTTGTTTTTTTGTTTTTTTTTTGGGGGGGGGTCCGGTCGTGGGGCCTGAACTCTGGGCTTGGGTGCTGTCCCTCAGCTCTTCAGCTCAAGGTTAGTGCTCTACCACTTGAGCCACAGCACCACTTCCGGCTTTTTTCTTTTTGCCTATGTGGTGCTGAGGAATCAAACCCGGGCCTCAGGCATGCAAGGCAAGCGCTCTACCACTGAGCCACCCTCCCAGGCCCCTTCCTGGGTTTTTGTTGTTGTTGTTGTTTTGCTAATCAGGCAGAGATAATAGTCTCATGGACTTTACTGTCCAAGGTCAGCTTTGAAGTTGGATCCTCAGATCTCAGCCTTCTGGGTAGCTAGGATTAGAGATGTGAGCCACCAGTGTCCAACCAAATCTTTTTGTTTCTGGTCCTGAGGCTTGAACTCAGGTCTTGAACTCTGTCCCTGAGCCTCTTAGTTCTACATCACTTGAGCCACAGCACTACTTCCAGCTTTTTATGAGTAGTTTATTGGAAATAAGAGTCTCACAGACCTCTCTCTGGACTGGCTCTAAACCACAGTCCTCAGATCTCAGCTCCCTGAATAGCTAGGATGACAGACATGAGCCACTGGTGCCCAGTGCAAACCTCTTTATAAATAACCAGCCTCAGATTTTTCATGATAGGAACAAAAACAGACTTGCACACTGTCCTACTCAAGGTTTTCCAAACTAAAACCATTGCCAGCTAAGGTATAAAAGAAAACCAAAGAAGCCAGGTGCCGGTGGCTCACGCCTGTCATCGTAGCTACTCAAGAGGCTGAGATCTGAGGATTGCAGTTCAAAGCCAGTCCAGGCAGGAAAGTCCGTGAGACTTTTATCTCCAATGAACCACTAGAAAACCGGAAGTGGCGCTGTGGCTCAAGTGGTAGAGCACTCACCTTGAGCTGAAGAGCTGAGGGACAGCGCCCAGGCACAGAGTTCAAGCCCCACGACCAAAAGAAAAGAAAAAGAAAACCAAAGAGACAGGAATGAAGGTGGACAGTGGCTTCTTGGATTTCTTTTTAAATTATTATTACTCTCCAAAAGCAGCGAGTGTCCCAGAGAAATAAAAAGTGGGCTCTGTGCCCAGCAGCCTGGTGGACTCCGGTGTCCCATGCTCTCCAGGCCTCACTGTCAGCCCAGCTTGATGAACAGCAGCAAAGTGGCAAGAATTCCTGGCAGCTGCAGTGGGAAAAGAACAGAACACTGCGCCATCCCTGGAAACTTCCAAACTAGAATCAAAGTGGAGTTCACAGGGTAGAGGGGGAGACACCCTGGAGTAGAAAGTGGAGGGCTGCATTTTCCAGATGGTTAGAGATCTGCCTGGGCCACGTTAGAGCCACTTTGGTCCTGTGAACAGTGATTCCAGGGCAAAGGATGGAGATTTTGTATGTATAATACATATAGCTGTTCCTGCCTAACCCTAAAGGACTACATATCCCAGAATCCTCTGTTCTCTGATTGCTATTAGATTGCCCAATAGGAAGGCCTTTGCCCTTGGACTTCCTGGAAGGTTTGTCCAATAGGAAGTACCAAGAGGAAACATGGTCAGGTGGGAGAGGAGAGCCCGGAGCGTTTGTTCGTTTGTTTATATTCCTTCTCTCCTCCCCTCCCCGCCACTTAGCCTCTCACTGATGTTCTGCTTAATGGTTCGTTATTGCAAGGGGAAATGGTAAAGGCTCCAACTATTATCATTAAAATGTCTGCCTCTCTTTTTATTATACCTATTTGGAAGCTCTATTTTTAGGTGCAAAGGTTTCTATTTTTATATTACACTTATTTACATTTTACACTTGTACATATAGATCATACATTTGGAATCCAGTATGTTTCCTTATGACGTGATCCTTTTATAAAATGTCCTTTGTCTGCCTATAATCCTTTGTCTATAAAAACAAATATCTTCTTTTCTTTTGTCATGGGATTTGAACTCAGGGCCTGGGTGCTATCCCCGAGCTCTTTTGCTCAAAGCTCTCCCACTGCTGGGCGCCAATGACTCGCACCTGTCATCCTAGCTACTCAGGAGGCTGAGATCTCCAGAATTGAGGTTCAAAGACAGTCAGGCAGAAAAAGGCTAGAAACTCCATTTTGCAAAATGACTGGCGAAGCCAGGCGCTGTTGGTTCACGCCTGTAATCCTAGCTACTCAGGAGGCTGAGATCTGAGGTTCGCAGTTCCAAGCCAGCTTGGGCAGGAAAGTCTATGAAACTCATCTCCAATAAACCACCAGAAAACCAGAAGTGGTGCTGTGGCTCAAGTGGTAGAGCACTCACCTTGAGCTAAAGAGCTGAGGGACAGTGCCCAGGCCCAGAGGTCAAGCCCCATGGCCAACAACAAAAAAAAAAGATTGGCAAAAAGCTGAGCTGGAGGCATGGTTCAAGAGGGAGAGCACCAGCCTAGGGAGTTGGGAGACTCTTTGAGGTCAAGCCCCAGTACCAGCAACAACAAGCAAAACCTCAGTGTGTCCCAGAAAGGCTGAGTCTTACCTGGATCATGGCTGCCCCCAGGGAGACCCCACTCAGGGTTAGGCTGTGAGTCCTGGTTATTTTGAGGAGTTTGGAGAAGCATCCCTGGGAATATAAGTGTGAAAGCAAGCAGAGGAAGGCAGTTAGATGCTCAGCGAAGCTAGGGCTCCATGAAGCCCAGCCTTGGGGCCACCCCAAAACCTTCTCTGATTCAGAGAGAAGAGGATGCGTCCTAAAAACCAGACTCCTCCTCTTCTTTTTTGTCAGTCGTGGGGCTTGAACTCTGGGCCTGGGCGCTGTCCCTCAGTTCTTCAGCTCAAGGCAAGTGCTCTACCACTTGAGCTACAGCGCCACTTCTGGTTTTTGATGGTTCACTGGAGATAACAGTCGCATGGATTTATCTATGTCTGGGCTGGCTTTGAACAGTGAGCCTCAGATCTCAGCCTCCTGAGTAGCTAGGATGACAGGCGTGAGCCACCAACGCCCAACTACCTTGCACCATTTATACCTGACAGAATCTCATTCTCAGATCTGTCTTCTAAGAAAATGGAAAAGGAAATCCTAACTCCTCTTGGCAGTTTGGATCTAGAATGTTCCCAGAGGCTCATGGATTAAAGGCTTAGCTTGCCAGCTCAGTGCTATGGTAAAGCCTTTAAGAAACAGGGCTCAACTGGGTGTTGGTGGCTCACACCTGTCATCATAGTTACTCTGGAAGCTGAGATCTAGAGAATCAAGGTCCAAGGCCAGCCAGGTAGAAATGTCCAGGAACTCTAGCTCTAGAATTACCAACTATGACTGGGAAGGTGGCTCAGTGGTAGAGTGCTTGCCTCGCATGCATGAGGCCTGGGTTCCATTCCTCAGCACCACATAGGCAGAAAAAGCCAGAAGTGGCGCCATGGCTCAAATGGTAGAGGGCTAGCCTTGAGCAAAAGCAGCTCAGGGACAGCACCTTGGCCCTGAGTTCAAACCCCAGGACTGGCCAAAAAACACGCTGGAAGAATGACTCAAGTGGCAGAGTGCCAGCGGAGCCAATAAGCTAAAAAAGCATGAGACCCTGAGTTCAATCCCTGGTACCAACACACACACACACACACACACACACACACACACACACACACACACACGAGGTGGGATTTACTTGGAAGACTTAAGCCTTCCAAGGGATGAAGGGATGGATGCATACTCTATGCTTGAAGAGAAGATTGTGTTCCTTCCTGTCTCTCCATTCCTTGTCCATGAACTGAGGTGTTTCCTCTCCCATGTACCCCCCAACATTATTGCTACCTTGCCACCGCCTTCCAAAATGACCATGCCAACCAACTGTGAAACTCTGAAAACTACAAGGCCAAAGAAACCTTTCTGCATTTTAAATCCATTACCTCAGGTAATATGCTACAGTCACAGAAAACTAACTGACACAGCCAACAAAGCTACACTTACCGGAACAAACCAAACACTGAATGAGAGTTAATTTTTGTCTCCCCTTTGCTAGGATCTCCACCAATAAGTAACTGGTTTTAAGTCCACAGGGCGGGGGTGGGGAGGGGTGGGGGGGGTGGGAGGGGGAGCAACACACAACCAAATCCTGAATTACCTCGTGGTGGATGACTTCCGTGGATACATTTTGCCCATCACAAGTTGGAGTGCCTATGGATTTACAGCAGCCCCTGGGGTAAGTGTGGCCGGTTGTCATTTGAAAGGAAGAGCCAGAGAAATCGGTGTAGTTATTCACCCCACAGCACTTTAGCTGTGGAAAGAAAAACAAGAAAGTCTTCTTTTCAAGTAGTTAAATGCAGTAGAAAATCACAATCCCCGTAGCTACAATCCAGAGCAGTCCTAATATTCCTATGGTGGCCCAGAACCTTCCATGGCTCTTCATCTGATCAGGATAAAAGGTAAACTCTAAGCCAGGTGCTGGGGTCATATGCCTGTCATCTTAGCTATTCAGGATGCTGAGAGCTAAGGATGGAGCTCACTTAATCCAGTCACTGGTTTCTTTAGTTTTTGCTTTTGTTTTTTGTCAGTCATAGGCCTTGAACTCAGGGCCTGAGTACTCTCCCTGAGCGTTTGTGATCAAAGTTAGCACTCTACCACTTGAGGCATGGCTCTACTTCCAGATTTTTGGGTAATTAACTGGAGATAAAAGTCTCAGAATTAGCCAGGCACTGGTGGCTCACGCCTGCAATCCTAGCTATTCAGGAGGCTGAGATCTGAGGATCGAGGTTCAAAGCCAGCCAGGGCAGGAAAGACAGCAAGACTCTTATCTCCAATAAACCACCAGAAAACAGGAAGTGTCACAGTGGTTCAAGTGGTAGAGCGGTAGCCTTGAGCTGAAGAGCTGAGGGACAGTGCCCAGGCCCAGAGTTGAAGCCCTACAATCAACAACAACAACAACAACAAAGTCAGTTTTCCTACCTGGACTACCTGGCTATGAACTGTGATCCTCAGATCTCAGCCTCCTGAATTGCACGAATTTCAAGTATGAGCTACAATGCACAGCTACTACTCCTAGCTTATTAACTGTGATGGAGGGTCTTAGTAACTTCTGCCCAGGTTTCTTGGAAGCCTGATGCCACCAAACACGCCCAACAGAAATGGCTGAGATGGTCAATCTCCTGTGGTATCTATTTGACCCCAATTTCCTGAAAAAGCCAAGCTCACCTTCTCCATGACCAAGTTCCACTGTGCTGAGAAGTCATCTGGCTCGTTGTAACCTTTGTAATTCTTCCTCAAGGTGGCAAAGTTGTGCTCCAAGGCCACATCTCGAACCTTCCAGACCAAACCAGAAACAGAAGAGATGAACACAACACAGCCAAGGGGGACCCAACGTTTGTTTGCGCTTCCTTTGCTCTCCTTCCCCTCAGTTCAGAGTCTGTTCTAGAAAGCGGTGTCTTCAGGCTGCCAGGTCACCCACCCCAGTGGGGGAACACAAAGGGGGGGGGTGTTTGCCATCAAGTGCATCTGGTCCTCCCCATCACTGATGAACCAACCTGAATCATCTGCTCTTTTTGAATCGCCCACAAGCCGGGTACACCTACGATTTGGCTGGAACTGGATTAAAGAATTGAGTAGAGAGCCTGGTGTGGCGGTGCATGCCTGGAATACCAGCTCTTGAGAGGTTGAGGCAGGAAGATTGGGTTTCAGGTTTGACAGGGTTCCTTAGTAAGCAGTTCAAGGCCAGCCTGGTCTGGCTAAGTAGCAAGATCTTGTCTCAAAAAGAGGAGAGGAGAGGAGGGGAGGGGAGGGGAGAGGAGGAAGGGCAGGGGGAGGAAGGGAGGAAGGGAGGGAAGTATACAGAATATTTCCGTTTCTATTTTTTCATGTAGCAGCACGCAGCTGAAAGCGCCCAGGGGAGGAGAGCACGGCGTCTCCCTCCCACCTTTTTCTCTCGGCCCAAAAAAGTTCCTCCCACTTCACACTTGTCCCTGCTTCTGTTTCCTGTGTCCCCACCGAGGCCCTGATGCGAGTGCAAGCCGAGCGTGGTTGCATTAGTTCCCTGATTGGAGCGCGGCTGCCCTGGGGTAACTGAGATGCGCGCTCCACCCAGGACCTTGGACTGCTCAGCCCTGGGGGCGTGGCTCAGCGCCGGGGGCGTGGCTCCTCCACAGGGGCGTGGCTCTGTCCTGGGACTGTGGCTCAACATAGGGGTGAGACTCAGCGCTGGGGGGCGTGGCTCTGTGGTGAGGCATGGCTTGGAGGTGGGGGCGTGGCTCACGTCTGCGGAGGAGGCTTCACGGGCAGGGGGGGTGGGGCTCCACTCAAGGGGCGTGGCTCCGCGGTAGGGTGTGGGTCTGTCCTGGGCGGGGCTTAGTGGTGGGGCGGGGCTCAGTCCTGGGAATCTGACTCTGAGGTAGGGGCGTGGCTCAACAGAAAAGATAGCTCAGCGGCTTAGGCGTGTTTCAGTGGTGGGGGCGTGGCTTCTTCATGGGGGCGTGGCTCTGTGATAGGGACAGGGCTCAGGCCTGGGAGCCTGGCTCCCCGGTATTGGGCATGGCTCCGTGGTGGGGGCGTGGCTTCCACGGAGGTCCAGGTGGGAAGTGTGATGTGATTTCATGCAGCACCTTACTTACAATTGGGAAGAAGGCCAGGATCACGGAGGTAGCTGTGATCTCCACGATGAGGATGGTCACCATGAACAAGAAACACTGCAAGACAGAGGGTCGTGGCCCTGCAGGGCTGGCTGCTACCCATGCACCCCCACCCCATCGCCCTTGTACAATATCAAAGAACTCAGGCCGGGTGCTGGTGCTCTGTCATTCTAGCTACTCAGGAGGCTGGGATCTGAGGATCGTGGTTCAAAGCCAGCCCAGGCAGGAAAGTCCGTGAGACTCTCCTCTCCAGTGAACCACCAGAAAACAGGAAGTGGCGCTGTGGTTCAAGCGGTAGAGAGCTAGCCTTGAGCTGAAGAGCTGAGGGACAGTGCCCAGGCCCAGAGTTCAAGCCCCAAACAAAAAAACATAAGCAAATGAAAGCCAGGTGCTGGGGGCTCATGCCTGGAATCCTGGCTACTCAGGCGTGGGCAGAAAAGTCCATGATCTTATTTTCAATTAACCACTTACAAACCGGAAGTAGTACTGTGGCTCAAACTGGTAGATTGCTAGACTTGAGCAAAAAAGCTCAAGGACAGCACCCAGTCCCTGAGTTCAAGCCCCACAACCAACAGAAAGCAAAAGCAAATGACTGGGTACCTGTGGGCCAAGACTACTCAGGCTAAGATCTGAGGATCAAGGTTCCAAAGCCAGGCAGGGCAGAAAAAGTCAGGAGACACTTATCTCCAGTTAATCACAAAAAAAGTGGGGGTGGGGAGTGGAGCTGTGGCCCAAGTAGTAGAGTGTTAGCCTTGAGCACAAGAGCTCAATGGGGGCTGGGAAGATGGTTCAGTGGTAGAATGCTTGCCTTGCATGCATGAGGCCCTGGGTTCGATTTCTAAGCAGAAAAAGCTGGAAGTGGCTCTGTGGCTCAAGTGGTAGAGCGCTTGCCTTGAGCTGAAGAGCTGAGGGACAGTGCCCAGGCCCAGAGTTCAAGCCCCACAACTGACCAAAAAAATAAAATAAAGAAAATGAAGGTGAGTGGGATGGTCCCTGCCTCCAATCCTAGCTGCTCAGGAGGCTGAGATCTGAAGATCATGGGCCAAAGCCAGCCTAGGCAGCAGTATTGGTGAGACTAAAGAGAAATTAAACTTCAAATCAACTCAGACAACATTCTGAGAGGCCTGTGAAAGCAGAGATGAAAGTCAGGCATCAGTGGCTCACGCCTGTCATCCTAGCTGCTCAGGAGGCTGAGATCGAGGATCATGGTTCAAAGCCAGCTCGGTCAGAAATGTCCCTTTGAGAGCCTTCTCTCAATTAAGCACCAGAAAGCCAGATGTAGTGATGTGGTAGAGAGCTGGGCTGGAGCAAAAAGTGCTCAAGAACAGTACCCAGGCTCTGAGTTCAAGTCCCACAATTGACCTGAGGGGAGGAAAAATCAGGAGAAGAAAACTTTGGGGAATATAATATATTATATATTAATGTAATAGGTAATTTAATAATTTATGAGTTTAGTGAGAGGAGAAAAGAGATTCAAACCAATGTATATCATAATGGATGTGATCAAGCAAGATTCACAGCTAGGAGCCGGTGGCTCATGCCTGTAATCCTAGCTACTCAGGAGCCTGAGTAGCTGAGGATCGCGGTTCAGAGCCAACCCAGGCAGGAAAATCCGGGAGACTCTTATCTCCAATAAAAACCACTAGACAACCAGAAATGATGCTGTGGCTCAAGCGGTAGAGTGCTCACCTTGAGCTGAAGAGCACAGGGACAGTGCCCAAGCCCAGAGTTCAAGCCCCACGACCTACCCCACTCCAAAAAAAGAAAGCAAGATTCACTGTTCAAGCATATATATATATATATATATATACACACACACACATATATATATGCATATAATAACTATATATATATATAAATGCATGGAGTGAAAGGCTTTGTGCATGTGTTTGTCAGTGGTACGTCTTGGACTCAGGGCTTGGGCACTGAAACTTTTTCCACTCAGGCTGTCACTCTACCACTCAAATCACACTTCTCTGGCTTTTTGCTGGCTAATCAGAACAAAGAGCCTCACAGACTTTCCTGCCCAGGCTGGCTTTGAACCTCGATCCTCAGAGCTCAGCCTCTAAAGTAGCTGGGATTACAGGCGTGAGCACTGGCACGCTGTAAAAAGTACTTCCTGCTTATTTTTCATTTATTATTATTATTTGTTACGATATTTTTGGCACTTCTGCAGTTGGAACTCAGGGGGGCTTGGGCTTGTTAGAGCAGGTGCTTTACCACTTGAACCACGATCCCAGCCTGAACGTGTTCTGTCATATAAGCCACAAAGGGGAGGAGGGCTGGGGAGCAGGGGGAGGGTTGTGGTTCTGGGTGCAGATCCAACTTACAAACAAGAGAGTGCCTCGGCTTTCTTTCGTGGCTCCGTACCAGCCGGCCAGGGCGAGCGGGATGATCACGCACCCCAGGACCAGGAAGAGGTAACCAAAGTGGAGCAGGTATGCACAGGACAGCCCCAGGACTGTGGTCATGGACGCCCGGCCATACTTCACACCCAGGCCCAGGGCAATGAGGGTGACACCTGACGCCTGCACACCACAAGTCAGAGAGGAGGGAAAAGCCATAGTTAAGGGCTCCACAGAACATTCCCCAGGCCAGCCGCTGGTGGCTCGCGCCTGTCATCCGTGCTACCCAAGGAGGCTGAGATCTGAGGATCGTGGTTCAAAGCCAGCCCTGGCAGGAAACTCTGATCTCCAATGAACCCCCAGAACACCGGAAGTGGCGCTGTGGCTCAAGCGGCCTGGCGTTCGCGTCTCTTGAGCCAGAGATCTACACACAGTTCCGGGCGCTGCCGCCAGGGGTCGGGGCTGAGCAGGCCGCTCTGTTCCCAGCATGCTCCACTCCCGCCAGCCTTGCCCGGCTTGTTTTGGGGGATGGAGGGGGGGCGTGGGGGGGGGCATCTCAGATCCCCATGGGATCTCCCTGCTGGCTGTGCAGGAAGGGCAGAGACCCACCGAGGGTTAGGGTGCTGACACACTTACAGCCACCACACCGTTGAAGCAAGATATTAGTTTCTTCAGCGAGGAGTAGGGCGTGTGGGTTTCCGTCATGTTTGTCAGATGGGGGGTTCTTGGAGGTTTAAGTCAGCATCTTCCCACACAGCTGGACTAATGCTTGCCAGGTTTGTTTTGCTGTTGGAGGTCTTGGGGAGGGGGTGAATGAAGTTGGCTTGCTCCTCCCCCTTTGTCTCCTGGCTGCTTGATTGGTTTCCTGGTCTGCTTCCCCCCACCCTCCTTAAGGGCTGGCCCAACAGGTGCCAGCCTCAGGCCCAAGCCTTTATCACATCACAATCGGATGGCACAGCAAAGCGCTGCTGGTGCCCTGGGAAACAGGTGTCCGTCCCCCCTCCGCCCTTCCCACTGTCACCTTCGGGGGGGGGGAGGGGAGAGGAGTCCTGATCATTTGTGTCATTGACACAAACATGAAAGGACAGGGACCTGGGATGCCCTGTGCTGTGTCCCCAAAACCTGGCCCAGTAGCCTCTGAAGGAACACGATGTAGAATGCAGGAATCAAGAGGCTCCAGCCCAGCCCGGTGACAGTTGCGCCTCTGGGCCTAGGACTGGGCTGACAAAAGATCGTTTGAAAATAAGAACCCAACTCATGCCTGTTATCCTAGCTACTCAGGAGGATGAGATCTGAGGATCATGGTTCAAAGCCAGCCAGGGCAGGAAAGACTGTGAGACTCTGATCTCCAATAAACCACCAGAAAACTGGAAGTGGCGCTGTGGCTCAAGTGGTAGAGCGCTCGCCTTGAGCTGAAGAGCTGAGGGACAGCGCCCAGGCCCAGAGTTCAAGCCCCACAACCGCCAAAAATCAAAACAAAAAAAAAAAGGACTCTGGGAGTGATGACTGGCCCCGCCTCTCATAACCCCGCCCATCGTAACCCCGCCCCTGCCGGGCACTCAGAGAAGCCACGCCCACCACGTGTCCCACCCTCTCTTAGGCAATCCGACCTATGGATAGCATCTCCAGGGCAGCCCCACCCCTCCTGGGCCCCTCCCACCCCCGAAGCACCGCCCCTTCGTCGAAACAGGCACCGCCCCTCCCCGCAGCACTTCCCTGGGCTTCATTGCTAAGCAACGACTCCGATCCGGTCCTCGCGCTCCCCCTCTAGTGGCAGGCAGCAGAACTGCGGCCCGGTGCTGCAGCTGGCGCGCAGCTGGAGATGTGGGAGCTCTCTCTCTCTCTCACACACACACACACACACACACACACACACACAGGGCAGCACTTCCTCTCGAACACACGCAGATGTGTCCTGGTCCCTAGAGCTGTCGCCTGGCCAGTCAGCGTGAGGAAATGAAGCAGACAGCCCAGACCGCCCCGCACCCACGCGGCTGATAGGAGACAGACGGTGCAGAAATCCCACCATCACAAACGCCAGGGAGAATATTCCACAAAAACGCGTGCAGAAAGAAAAGCAGTGTCGTCGGGCGCGGAGGCGCACGCCTGTCATCCTAGCTACTCAGAGGCTGAGAGCTGAGGATCACGGCTCAAGGCCAGCCCTGGCAGGAAGATCCGGGAGACTCTGATCTCCAATAAACCATCAAAAAACCGGAAGTGGTGCTGAGGCTCAAGTGGTAAAGCGCCAGCCTTGAACAAAAAAGCTAAGAGACAGCAACTAGGCTTTGAGTTCAAGCCCCAAGACTGTCACACACATATTCAAATTGCTGCTATTGGTTTGGTTTTGCTCTGTGTGTGTGTGTATGTGTGTGTGTGTGCATGATTGTGCACACATACGTCCATGCTGGGGTTTGAACTCAGGGCCTGGGTACTGAGCTTTTTTGCTCAAATTTGATGCTCAATCATTTCAGCCACAGGTCTACTTCCAGCTTTTTGGTGGTTAGTTGGAAATAACTTTCTTGCCCAGGCTGGCTTTGAACTTACGCCTTAGCCTCCTGAGTGCCAACATGCCTGGCTACAGATCCCATGTTTGAACCAACTTCGTTTCTTCTCCATCATTTTCCTCCTCTTATAATGTGAATTCCCCAAGCAGCCTTCTATTTCCCAGCAAGCCTCATAGGCTTGAGGGATTTCTCCCTTGTTTCCAGCAAGCTGGTCACTGGAACTCAGGTCTACTGCTGAGCTAGGGGCCGAGATGAAGGCAGGGTCATCTTCTACCAGAGAAGCATGATGGGTTAAGCGGAGATGTAACACATCTGTCCACTTTATTTTTTATCAGCCTTTGAAAACTTACAGAATCCAATCCCCCCCTGCCAAAGCTAGAGACACAGATTTCCCCTTCTCGAATGCATATATATGTATATATATATATGTATATATATATATATATATATATATATATCAGGCCATTGAAATCAGCAGGGCAGGGCTGGGAAGGTGGCTCAGTGGTAGAGCGCTTGCCTTGCATGCCTGAGGCCCTGGGTTCCATTCCTCAGCACCACATAAGCAGAAAAAAAAAGCCGGAAGGGGCGCTGTGGCTCAAGTGGTAGAGCGCTAGCCTTGAGCTGAAGAGCTGAGGGACATTGCCCAGGCCCAGAGTTCAAGCCCCAGGACCGGACCCCCCCAAAAAAAAAATGAAATCAGCAGGGCTGCTCAATCCACGGGTTTACTGAAGAAAAGCAGCAGCCACAGAGTCTGGAGCTAGGCTCCATTAAGTAGCTGTTCACTTGAGCATCACTAGGGGGCGCAATGCCCACAGAAAACAATACACATGGCATCCCTGGGTGCTTCCTGACACTGTAGTGCCCATTCTTAGGGGTAGATAACTTCTTTCTGCCTCCTCCAGGAAGATATGTGGATTCATACTATTATAAATAGATTTATTGTTGTTGTGTTTACCTGCCAGTCTGGGGCTTGAACTCAGGGCCTAGGCACTATCCCTGAGCTTTTTTTTTTTTGCTCAAGGCTGGAGCTCTACCCCTTGAACCACAGCTCCACTTCTGGCTTTTTGCTGGTTCATTGAAAATAAGCGTCTCATAGACTTTGGTGCCCGGGCTACCTTTGAACCATGATCCTTAGAGCTCAGTCTCCTGAGTAGCTGGGATTACAGGCATGAGCCACCAGCGCCCCACTACTGAACCACGTTCCTAAGCCCAACACTCATGGCTATTGAAACAGACACGTCCTGTCTCTAGCTCTGAGAACTGAGACCATGATATAATGACACCCCGATACCAACAAAGCACACCATTGCTCAGCTCTTGGTTTTTCAGATATCACCTTGGTTCAAGGATCTAGCACTGAACATCATCTGCGCACTAGGCTTCATTCACAGAACTGCAATAAATAAATAGGGCTGTGTGTCTTGGTGCATCCCTGAAATCCCAGCACTTGTAAAGCTGAGATGGGCATCATGGACATGTCACAAGTTCCAGAGCGAAGTGGAATGAATAATTTAACAGTGCCGAGAGAGAGAGAGAGAGAGAGAGAGAGAGAGAGAGAGAGAGAGAGAGAGAGAGAGAGGGAGAGAGAGAGAGAGAGAGAGAGAGAGAGAGAGAGGGAGAGAGAGAGAGAGAGAGAGAGAGAGAGAGAGAGAGAGGGAGTTAATGAGAGGGAGGGAGGGAGAGGGAGAGGAAGAGAGAGAGAAGGGAGGGGAAAGAAAGAAAGAGAAAGAAAGAAAAGAAAAAAGCCAGAAAAATAGCAGAAAATCGGAAGTGGAGCTGTGGCTCAAAATGGTAGAGCACTAGGCTTGAGAAGGAAAGCTCAGGGACAGCGCCCAGGCCCAGAGTTCAAACCCTACAACCAACAAAATTAAAAATAAAAATAAAGGCCTGGGAAGGTGGCTCAGTGGTAAAGCGCTTGCCTTGCATGCCTGAGGCCCTGGGTTCGATTCCTCAGCACCACATGAGCAAAAAGAAAAAAGCTGGAAGTGGCGCTGTGGCTCAAGTGGTAGAGCGCTAGCCTTGAGCTGAAGAGCTGAGGGACAGCGCCCAGGCCCAGAGTTCAGGCCCCACGACCGACAACAAAAATAAATAAATATAAACTAAATTAAAAAATAAATCTTCCAGAACCTCTCCCTTTCCCCACACGCACAAAAAAAATTAAAAAGGGAAAATGATGGAGGACTATTGTTTTTTTAAAGGGCGGGAGCCTGGGTTCAATTACAAGGTTTTGTCTTCTCCTACAAGTGTGTATTTTTCTTGGGGTGGGGAGGCTGCCTTAGTTTCTCAGCAGGGTGCTCCTTGCCTGGCCTTGAGGGGTGAGAAGTGGGGGGCGGGGATCATATCTTGGGCTAGCCGAGACTGAGAGATCACTGAGAGACAGGGAGGAGAAGAAGGAAAAAGGAGGAGGAGGAGGAGGAGGAAGAAGAATCAGCTCTGATCTGCAACTTCGCCAGATGCTCAGGGGTCCTGCCCAGCCCTGGAATGTTCCTTGTCGGCCTCTTTTGCACTATTTGTACTTTTGGCCATGGCCCAAAGATTTGTAAGGTCGGCGTAGGAATTTCGGGGAGCCTTCTCTGGGCCTAGATGCTGCTCCGGCCTGGAGCCCCTTCCTGGGGTCCTAGCAGGCAGGCCCCGGGGAAGTGAGGAGTAGGGAAAGAAAAGAAAAAAAGGGCTCATTGACGTGGATCCTGGGGAGGGGGCAGAGCCCAGGAGGGAGCCGGTGCACGCGGGCCTCTAAGAAGCCAGGCCAGGAGTTTCTCAGGCTGCAGAATCCAGGCCGGGTGGGGCTCGGTGGCAGAGGCCTGTTGGCTATGCCTGGACCCTAAATCTATATAAATCCTATTTTATGTATCTCGCACGCACGTACTTACATACGTGTGCGGTACATACGTGTGCGTGCCGGGCAGCCAGCCCTCTGTATCCTGGAGGAATAGATTCCAGGACTGCTGAAGCACAGGGTTGGGGGCGTGGCTCAGACCCGGGGGCGTGGCTCCTAGATGGGCGGGTCTCTGTTAAGGGGCATGGCTCGGAGGTGGGCGTGGCTCAGTGTAGGGCGTGTCTTAGCTGTGTGGGCGCGGCTTTAGAGCGGGTGGGCGGGGCTTGTCGCGGGGCGTTGCTCGAGTGTCAGAGCTGGAGCTCCTTATAGCAAAGGGTTCAAATCCCAGCATAGCCAAAACAGCCAAAGAGAAGAAGAAACACCAG